TTCGGGTTTTTTGCATGTGCTGTCTTAGAGTTGGCAGTGTATTTTAAATTTTTTTGAAGTCTTGTAGTTTCCCTTGTGTGACACAACCTCCTTCCTGCTTCTCAGAGTGTATTTTTATTCTGGATTGGCCTCAGCAGACTTAAAGCTGCGTTGGTGTGAAGAGGTGTGCTCAGTCCTTTGGTGGCAGAGAGCCTTTAGATGAGGTCAAATCCCATCAACTGCAGTCTTAATAAAAGCGATTTCCTCTGGGTGTGGAGGAGCAAAAAATAGTCTGTTACAAGTTCCTACAAAACAAAATAGAATGAAACCAACCTTTAAGTGATTGCAAAAAATTGTTTCCTCTAAGAAGTGCAGTGAGCTGGTCCCTGCTAGTGTACGTGTGAGACATTTTACATCATCTCAAGGTTCCCATAACATTCATGCTGGTGATTCAGGTGAGAAAGACTCAACCTATAAACTACCAAAGGCATGAGTACTTAGATCTGTCCTGATTTCCAGGCATAGAAATGAGTTTAATATTAAAGTTTTAAATGTATTTATTAACTACAATGAGATCTCAGCCCAAATTCAACGTTGTTATTTTTTAAATTATTTTATATATATATATTTTTTTTTTAGATTTAAGGGTGGATTTTTTTATGTGCTCTTAAATTATTGTAGTTTCTTACTGGGCATTATTCACCATCTTACCTTTTTAAATCTATGTAATTGTATGTGTATCATCAGCTCTCCAGGTTGAGTACTAAGGAATGTAAGCTGTTTAAAAATTGAATTTTTTTTCTTCTTTCTGGATTTTAATGTGAACAATTTTATGGCACTCCTGTTCTATATAACTTTCTTTTGTTTGAAGTGAACTCTGTAATACCACTTCCTCTTAGGTGAATCCTGTGATGAAACCCTCTTAGGTTAAAGAGGATGGGGAGGAAGGGGATTTTGAAATATAAAAGTAACCTGAAATATTCATACTAATTTCAGAACTTTTTTTGTAAACAATGCTCAGTATCTGTAAATGTGCTATATTTTATACTGTTTTCCTGACAAAAAAATGTATTACACGAACAACCTGTTCATAAGTATTTGCATGCCCTGTGATAAGTATGATAACGCTGTGGGTTGGCTTGGTAGCTCTCATATGATGGGGCGGTTTATTGACATTTCTAGCGTGTATATGTACATATGTATTAGACTAATGGATCTAATTGCTTCAGTTACTCTAAGGTGTGATTTGGATTTTATGTTTCTCCCCATATATTCTCCTGTAATATATGCTGTTCCCTCTGACTATCTCTTTACATTTGAAAATAGCTGCTTCTGCAAGAAGGGCTTTTCATGCACTTATATTTTTCCAGCCACGACTTTTTCAGTTAAGGGTGTGGCTTTTTCTGACACAGCTGTGTTAGAACAGGCTCTCACATAAAAACACTTATCATGGCAAAAAGTCCTTTGACATTACAGCTTATCTTGGGGGCTGTAGTACATTAATTCAGAAAGGAACTGTCTGTACTGAAGAGTTGTGGGTGTGAAGACAGTTTGAATTTTTTCTTTTTTTACAGTCTGGGCAGCCTGTTGTGATTTTTAGTGTGACTTTCCAGTTCATAGAACAATTGGCTGTTCCCCAGTGTGTGTTCAGCTTAACAGTTCAGATTCCTTTTATTTATCAGTATCCATATTACGGAAGTTCTTCCTGGAGAGTTCATCATGCCTTACTCCCTAAGGGGCTCATGAGGAAACTCATAAATAAATTTCAATGGCTTGTCAAACACATCTGTTTCTAATTCAAAAATCAATACCCATATCATCAGTAGCTGACAGACATTGAAATAAACATTAGTTACATTAAAACAGTTAATTACTGGACCTCGGAGGGGTATGCAATTAATTTTGGGCATCTACAAGACTGAGCTATGAAACTGATATTTAACCTTAGATATAAAATGTTCGCTTAATGTTAAACATTGGATTTCCTGTTAAATTATTACCTCTGCACAATGGGACCTTCTTGAATGCCATCTTATACTTGTGTGCGAGACTAGTACAACTTTGGTAAAATACTGTGATCCCATTGTAATGTTGCCTGTGCAGGCTGTTAGGGACCAGCTTCTTTCCAGTAAGAAACAGTGAGGAGAAATAATTATGTATATGATTCATTTGGAAATAGCTTTTGGAACTCTGAAAGTAGGATGGAATTAGTGTAGATAATTAAACGCAAAGTTATCTTTGTAGGTGTGTGTACACTTCTTCAAATAAGACTGTACATGCACTTATACACAAGATGCAACATTACACTTAAATATATTCTGGAAGTTGAATGCTTTAGCAGGCAAGAGCAGGCCATCATTCACTGCTGCTGGTGGTAAGCGTGAACTTGAGAATCTTCCCGTGGTTTGCTTTGAAGTAAATATGCTTTTGGGGCTATACTCAAGAGAATGCAGTACAAATTCAGAACTACTTGAGCAGGTCGGTTTGTCTTTATTTGTGAGCTTCCCAGTGAGCTGTTCTAACAGAGTAAGCTATATGTTTTGACCTGCAAACTGTCTTTTTTCAACAAAAACCTGGATGTGGAGGTGTCAGGATAGCTTGTAGGGCTCAGAAGAGGGGTTATGGAAAGTGGTAGTGGGCCTTCAAAAGCATTTTTGGGGTATGAAATAGCAGATAGTGCAGGCTGGAGGCTGTGATGAGGAAGAGAATGTAGAGGGGGTGTGCCAGGGATCTGAGGCTGCCAAAGAAGAGGTGGCTCCTTTGCTGTGACTTCACTTGCTTAAAACTTTCTAAGTCTAATACCTTAAAAGGTTTTCCATGCAGATAAAGCATTATTTCTTCTCACTATGCCCTGTGTTTCTTCCTGGGTGTAGGAAATCTAGTAATTAAAAGAAGTCATAATACTAAAGATGTATATAAGCGCTTACTTTAAAGAAAAACGGGGAGGAGCGGAAGAAAAAATCCGACCATGACTTTTAAAGCCTAAACTGGTCGGTTTAAAATTAAATAATTCAACAGTGCAGAGGTGTCCTGTGTGTGTTTATTTAGCAACTCGGTGGGTGGAAATCACTGAACATCTAAAACTCAAGTGTCTTAAGTGCTAACATAGATTTTGATAGTAGTATCCTCATCTGCAGAGTCAAGGAAAATGCTTTTCTTTTACTTGTGTTCAGTTCAGTAATTTGCTCGTTCTGAAATAAGAAACCAGTTGAGTTTTGAAAATTGTTTTCTAATGTAAGAATTAAAGAGGATGAGGTCTGCTAATTCTGAAGTCTTGACACAGATAATTTTCTTCACTGCAATGATTTTAACATAATCTGCATTTCAAAATAATTTATGTAAACTTGCCTTTCTGGGTGGATCTACATCTGAGGTGGTTTTAGATAACAAATACACAAGTGAATTCCTAATCAAATTAAAGCCACGAGGAAGTACATCTTGAGTCACTAAGAAAAATCTAAAAATAGTAAAAGAATAGAGACGAATATCAAAAATTACCAGTTATAACATGTAGAGAAGATTAATAATTACTTAAATGAAGATACCTACAATCTTTCCTATCACATGGCAAAAAGAATTGCAGTGACTTGACAATATCAGCAGATTTTAATGGTACTAATGGTTGCAAAACTAAAGATGCAAAATGAATTTGATCGTTTAAATCAGGGTTCTCCTTACTGTGTGAACCCTGAATCTAAATCAGTATTTATTGAAATTGGTCTGTTTTTCCTTACTGAGCTAGATTCTGCTACTCTGTTCTCTTTATCTATTCTTCCACCTCCAGGAAAAGACCTACTGGCTTTTCTCGCCTCGTTTCCTTAGTAGAGTTGCTAAATGTCATGATGGGAAGGGATTTCAACTTTGCATATTTTGTATATAATATAAATAATTGCAGTCTGCTGAAGGAGCAAGCCATTCAGAATTGAATATTCTTACTACAGTTCAGTGAAGTGCAGTTTCTGTTGGTGACATTTTGTTTAATCATGTACAATATGCAAGGAAAATAAATCTTTTCTGAAAAAGCTTAATTTTAATTTGATATGTCAGATGATCAGGAATCAGAGGTTTGCTTCTCAAGTTGTTGCAAGGGTGGCTCTATTGAACTAGTTGCTTGTCAGTGGAAGGTTTCTAAAAAATCTTAAAAAGGATTTTGGCATGAAGGTTATAATATTGTGTGCAGAAAACTGGGATAATGTTAACTCAAAGGGATTCTTGAAAGAAGGATGTGTATATGAGCAATACCGGCTGAGTTTTCAGCCTTTCTACTAGATACGTGCAGTTGCTGATTACAGCATATAAAAGTGAAATGAACCCCAGCCAGTGGGTGGGGGTTGAGTTTGTGTGTGTGCTTTCCAGATTCCAAAACCCACGTGCTAATGTAGTGATGTGCATGTTGTTGAATGAACCTAAAATAAATATATTTGTGAAAAGCACGCCTCGGGTTGTAGAGTCAGTATTTCTGAGTTTGTCTCCAGAAATGTGTTTGCAATCTGAACATGTTTTGGTGGAGTTCATTCTTCATACTAGTGAACACATGTAATGTCCTGTTTTCTGTAATACTCGTTACTTTTATGTCTGCTTTAATTTTTTAAGTTTTAAAAAAAACCTGAACAAACACCAAACAATGAATTTAGACCTCGTGTGTCTTGAACTTTTCTGTCATTGACTCTGAGGAGGTTTGAGGGACTCTGTCCGTCTAAAAATCAAGCTGTATAGACAATTTACGGAACTGGAGATAGTTTAAATGGGAACTGTTTTGTTAGTTTTGTGTAGCATGTATTTATGTAGCATTTGAATTTGCATATGTATTAGCCTACTTTTCTAATCTTGTATTTTAAAATCTTCTTTCTCCTCTAAAATACTGCTATCCAGTTGCATAAATGTGGTTTCTGTGTTTGGGCAGCCATGGTAATTTTAGAATGATTTGAACCGTTACTCTGAAACAGAAACACATTTGAAGTTCTTAATTATTTCCTTGTTTGATTAATTTTTTTTTCCTCTTTTTTGCCCTCTCTTCATAGGTTCCTTAAAACTGTGCTATGAATGGTGATTCTGGTGTGGGGGTGGTGACTTCACCACCTCCAACAACAGCCCCTCATAAAGAGAGGTATTTTGATCGAGTTGATGAAAATAATCCAGATTATTTGAGAGAGAGAAATATGGCACCTGACCTTCGCCAGGATTTTAACATGATGGAGCAGAAGAAGAGAGTCTCCATGATTCTTCAAAGCCCAGTAAGAAAAGAAAATGCTCCAATTTTGAAGTGATAAGTTTAATGTCTGTATTTTAATATCACTATGGAATTGCAGAAATTTGTGGCATCTTAGATCCATATGACCTTTTTTTCTGGTTTGGCCTTTTTTTTAAAGTATCTTAATTTTTTCCTCATGTTATTAGTCTAATTTTTCCTCACATTACGTGGCTGAATTTTTATTGTCAACTCATGAAGCAGCTTCTCAGTCTTGTTTTCAGAATTCTCTCTATAGTCATAAACACTTTTTCATATTGTCCATCTAGTCCTGGTCAGACAATTTTTTGCTTGTTTCATATATTTAGTATTCATTTAAACACTTAAATAACTCTTCTGAGTGTAGCTTATACAAGCTAGATTCTGTCCTGTGCTTAGTTTTCATGCATGATTCCGACATATGAAATATTTTTATATAACCCTTTCTGAAAGTGTGCACAATAATACTATGAATGATTGAAATTTAATATTGAAGGTACTTGCCTGAGGGAGAAAGTACACAAAACAAAATTTCTCTCATAACATTTGTTCCTTTTGTAAGAAATGGCGTGACTTTACATGCAAAACATTTCATGACATGACTTCATTATGAATAGGGAAATAGAAGCGTATTATACATTTGTTTCCACATGAAATCAACCCATTTTATTTAGATTTACTTAATGATTGGGATACTTCTCTTTCAGTACAAATTCCAGTGTTCTTGTCAAAAGCAGCAGCTACCAGCAGTAGTAAAAAACCTTGTCTTCTTCCTTTTGAAATTAAAGTCAAAACAAAAAGAAAAAAGCAACGAGGAAATAAGTAAACCATACCTTGTTTAAACACATTTTAAAAATTCAATGGCTATTCCTTCCTGTGTTCCTGGATGCTTTCTTGGTTGTCAGTTCCCTGTGAGCAACACTGGTAATTTTCCTTCTCTTTTCTGGTTCTACTAGTATTTTTTGTTAAAGTAATTGTATATCCTGCTGCTTCTTCCAGAAATCCCTATTAGTAGGTTCAATGAGTTTTGGTGTTGCTTGAAGAGAGAATGCTGGAATCTCCATTCACAAAAAACCAAGTGACTGATATAATTGGAGTTCGAGTGAGCAACATTTTCAAGTAACAGTGTGCATGCAGTAATTCTGCCCTGAGTTGTTTTTCAAAATAAGTATAGGATGTTTCTAGCTAAGTACTAAAAAGAAGCTGTGTATGAAAAGTTGAAGTTCATTTGAACATGCTTTACAATGTGCAATGTCCTGTTGCTAGGCTTTTTGTGAAGAACTGGAATCTATGATCCAGGAACAATTTAAGAAGGGGAAGAACCCAACAGGTTTATTGGCTTTACAGCAGATTGCAGATTTCATGACAACGAACGTACCAAACGTCTACCCTGCAGCACCCCAAGGCGGAATGGCTGCCTTAAACATGAGTGAGTGCACCTTAATTTATAATAATTAAATTATCTTTTTTGAAAGGCTTAAAATAAAGACAGTGTGAATAAAAGGAAAAGTGCTGTGAAGTTCAAATGTTATCCTGTTTTGCTCACAGGAACATTACAAACATAAAATTAAGTGATTAGTTTCTAAATGCCACAGTGGTACGCAGTGTGATTCGTGTATATAATTTATATCAAAAGCTATCTCAAGTATGATATCTTAATTGAAAAGGAAGCCTGAGAAGTTAGCACTAGTAAAAAATTTCAAGATTTAAATATTGCTAATGTTTACCACATGGATTGTCTGCAGGAAAATTAAATGCTTATTAGTGATCTAGTAACTGTGAAGTTCTTTAGAATCTAATTATTTTTGCCATTGAAATACTGTTTGCAGCTTTCTCCTGTGAAGTGAAACTCTAGACAAGAAACAACAGCAGGCAAAACAAAGACGGAAAACAAAAGCCAAATGTGCATATGCATCTTAACACAGGTTTTGTGTTAAGATAATAGAAATCCTTGCCTGTCCTCCAAAATAAGTTTATAGTTTAGACTGTAGTGCAACCTGGTTCTGCTTTATCACAGTTACTTTAAACCACATTTTTAATTGCACTGTAAATAGAACTACAGTATTTGTAATTATTTACCAAAGTCTTTCTCTGTCTATCTTGTCATTAATTATTCCCAATTAAATGAACTTTTTAGATGTATAGTTTTCCTTTTCAGGAATACCAGATCCCATATCTCAAAAAGTGGAATATTTGGGGTTATATTTTTCTATTAACAGCTAAGCTGTATTTTGCAGAGAATTGTTAATTTGAGAAAGGGGGGGGGGAAATTGCTAAGGAACACATTGTTACTTTAGCAGCGTTGAATATTAAGGAAGGAAATGAATGCTGATTCTACCAAAGACAAATGACCTTGTGCAAGGCTGCCATTGTATTTGTGTAATATAAATTATGACATCATAGTAATGAAGGTTTGCTATCCATTTCTTAGGTTAATATCTTGATATAAACTAGTAAAAACAACTCCTATAATAGTGGTGTGTGTTGTTTAACTGATGTTGAATGCAACCCCTGTTTGTTTTTTTACCCTTTCTCCTTTTCAGGTCTTGGCATGGTGACACCTGTGAATGATCTGAGAGGCTCAGATTCCATTGCTTATGAAAAAGGGGAGAAGTTGTTACGATGTAAATTGGCGGCTTTCTACAGATTAGCAGATCTCTTTGGCTGGTCTCAGCTTATTTACAATCATATAACAGTGAGTATTGAATCGAGAGATAACTGACCCAATTGTTTTAATGTACAAGAGAATTGCTTCCCTCCCCCATCTGTCATTTTCTCTTTGTGTGGAAGAGGAGCAAAGTGGTATTGAAAGCAGTATAATAGTGAAGAGATTTGTCATTGCATCTCAAGAATAAGAACTGGAACAGCTTGGATGTCAGCTACCGTAGCCTGAATAGAGTCTTAAGAGAGTGTACATGAAAGTTCCTATGATGAAATTAAGTTTCCTGAAAGACTTGGTCTTTTAGTATCTTAAATGCTTTTAATAACTGTATGTATTGTTCTGCAAGGTCATGTCTTAGTTTTTTTGCTAAATACTAAAATATCTTTTTATTAGTCATTCAGCTGAACTTTGTAATTCAAGGTACCAACCTTTTTGGAAAAGAAGCCATGGTATTTCTGAACATGAGCCAGCTACTTAGCTTAATGCAGCGTGCCAGCAATTTTCCTTGTGACTGAGTAATCGCTGGCATCCATAAAAAATAATGACAAGGAGGTCAAATCAAGGAGGTTTTATATGCCAGAAGAATGATCAACATGAGTCTTATGAGTAAAGTCACAGCTGTGGTGTGCAACCCAGTCAATTGTTTTCCTAACAGAGCTGAATTGTTGGGTTTTTTTTCTACATAGTAGAGGTTGTCCTTTATGTATTTTCATTTCTTCTACTTGCAGTCTGAACGAAATATGGTGGTTTTAGTATTACTGCTTTTTGAGATTTCAAGGTACATTATTTGTGAAACTAGAAGATGATAAAAGATGTGGGTAGGCATAGGATCGAGGCAATGCTGGTTAGATCTTTTGGCTCCTTTAGTAAGGGAACATATCCAACATAATGGTTCTTGTAAACAACTCTGTGCCACCCCCTGATTTTTCATACGTGACAGGAGAATTGATTTTGTAAAAGGAACATTAATGCGGTAAAAAGATTACTAGGCAAGCAGGTTTGGAGATGGCTTTGTAGCATGGACCTCAGCCCTGGGAATGTTTATGAGTTTAGCTGAAAAGGTGAATGTAATGAAGAGCGGCGTGGGAAGTGGTTAAGGCAAGGTTGTGCAATTGGGCTGGTATGCCTCAAGTTGACTTCCTTTTGGTGGGGGAAGCACAGGAAAATTAGATCATGGCGATACTAGCTGAGGTAGAAGACAGTCAAAGCACTTGGAGTATGAGAGTCTGAAAGTATTTTAGAAAGTTTTGAAGGGCAAAGTGGTACTGGAAAGCTCTTAGTTAATGGTTTGTCTCTGGCACTTATAAGTCATTGTTCACCCTTCTTTTACAAACTCCTGCAGTGAATAGCATTCTGAAGAGTGACTAATATATAATTTACTTTCAGAAGCTGATCTAGAACAAGGTTGTTACATTTACAAAATAGTTTTGTCTTTGTTCCATATACCCATATCTTAAGTAGTACTGTGGTAGTGAGGCACTCCTTTGGCATGTGGTGAATGCCTACCTCTGCATGAAGAGCTGGAGTTTGACCTCAGGTCTTCAGGCTTTTTTTGAGTGGATGCTCTAATTACTAGGGTATTGCGTTAAAGTTAAAAGCTGACAGTATGCTTTTTAAGGAAGAGAAAAGATACAACAGCCTTCTGTGAGGGGTGTCAGCCTGTGTGTTAGAGGAGAAAGGAACTGTGAGGATATGAGACTGTATGCCAATCTGGGCATATCAGGGAGCTGGGTGGAGTATCTTTGCTTTTCTGGATCCTTATCAATCACTGACACCTGCAGTGTGTGGAGTTGTTCAGACTAGTGCAGTCCTGGTGGAGAAACAGAATTACCGAGCACCAAGAGCTTTCATGTCAAGTACAATAGTTTAGAGTAAACTTGGGTGCCTCCGGGGCTAGGCAGAATTTGAGATTACAGGTTTGCAGAAGGTACACATCATTCACCAAGTCTTGGTTTGCTGTGAGGGCAGGAACTGTTTATTGGATCTAATCCTAAAGTAATGTGGCTTGTGAGACTTGCTGCTTGTTTATCTTATGTTTGAGCTCCCTTATTAGCTTTTGGGGCATTTTGAATAGTAACTTGGTTGTTGTCTTGCATAAATAAGCAAAAGAATTTCTAAGTCATTTACACTTCTGTAATGGAGAACTGTTTCGGTAGTTCATAAAATTACATGTTAACTTTAATTAACTGGTATAATCAAAGGGTTTTAAGCTATAGCATGTCACCAGCTGGTTGTAAAGGAAGCTAGATTTGTACTAGAAGCTTTTAGATGACAGATCAATTACTTATTTTAGAATTTCTTTTCCCCCTGTAGTAGAACTATATCAAAGTATATATATGTTTACTGTTGCAAGTAGTAGAAGACATGAGAGAGCATAGAGTAGCTGTATCTTGGGGAAATGGAAAACTCATAAATAAATAAAATTTTAAAAACATCTGAAAGCAAAACAAAACCAAAATCAAACCACAAGGTTTGGATAGACTAAAAGCAAAATAGGGAGTTGTCTCGTGTTCAGTAAAACATTTGTATCCTTTTAATTCTCTGTTGAGGGATACCTAAACTACCTAGCTGTCCTGTACTTATCATTGTACAGGCTTCAAACAGATGCATCCCAAAATACGAATGGTTTGAAGTCAGAATTGTTTTTGTATTATAAACTCCTGATTGTATGAATTAGACAAAAGAGCAAAAACATAAGTGGGAGTCAGGATACTTGGTAGAAAACCTACAAGTGTCCTGTACTGCTCACAGATGTCTCGCATGGCACCAGCATCAGTGTTGAAACCCATCTCTGCATCAAGGTGTTTTAGATCTGTGGGCCAAATTCTTGTGTTTTCTTACGCGCTTCTGTTTCATACCTTCTGTTTTACTAAGGTAGAAATACCATTGGAATATAAACTCATTTGTCTCAAAAAAAAAAAAAAAAAAAGGCAAAAAACCATCAATAAAAAAAAAACCAAAATAAAAAAAAACACAACCAAAACCAATCCAACAATAACTTTTTTTCCCCCCACTTCTCTCAGTATTATTCCTTTTATCCACAGTAGTCTAGTTGTCATTGCCACAAGATCTAAGGATTTACTACCTTCTACCATCTTGAAGGACTCTGGCATGTATCTACCATCTAGTTTTGGTCAGCATGAGTCGATTAACTGTGCTGTACGTTGACCATCTATTGTAGCATACATGACAGTCAGATGTTCTAGACATATTTGCCCATTCCATACTGAGGAAGTGAAAGTAACTTTCATGGTCTTGGGCCTGCGTGTATACTTTAATAAAATATTCTTAATAACTCCTACTCTTCTTTTATCCTTAGGCCAGAGTAAATTCTGAGCAGGAGCACTTCCTCATTGTACCTTTTGGACTCCTCTATAGTGAAGTTACTGCATCTAGTCTGGTAAGTAATTACAGGTTTTCATCTGTAAGATATGGATAGCTGAATCTGCTCTGTCTGTATATCTGTCACTGTTTAAGTTCTGTCCTAGAGAATATTTTACTCGGTGTTACATGTTTAGAATAGTTCTATTGAACGTGGTTGGTTTTGCTACGGCTGAGGTATCTGAGAGATTTCTTTGCACGTGTTCACCAGCAGGTGTCCTCCAGTTGACTTAGCTGTAAAGAATAGCAAGGTCATTTGGATGAGCCAATCACATCCTGCTCTTGGAAGCCATTGCCTGTTGAATCAGGCTTGTTGAGGGCCACAGTGTGCATTTCAGACATAAATGATTCAAACCAATTACAATTTCAAGACATAGTGTCAGATGCCCGATTTAGTTGCCATCGTTTAATGATAAAAGTAGCTGAGGGTGTAGATAAATTATATTTTTGAGATGTAGTGGTTGCAGTTAGAGACAGAGCTCCCTTAATTGTTAGCTACTGGGAAGCCTTTTTTAGTGTTTATCTTCAGTCTAGTCTACACTGCTGCGGAAGGCAACTTGAGTTAATGTGGTTGACTCTTGCATTGAAACAAAATAGAAACTTTCACACTATTCTTTCCACCTGACTACTGTAAGGTAAGTAACTTCTAGCAGAGACGTGAGGTAAGGATGTGCAGAGTAATAGTCAAATTTGTGTCACTCTTGACACTTTAAGGTCCTAATACTCTCCCCCAGCTATCTGTAAAGTTGGCTCTTTCTTACATAGCTCAACCTTAACCACCTGTAAAATTTTAATTGAAAAAGCTATAGGAGAAGAAATGGAGAAAACTGAGACCTAGCCTTTCTTGTTACTACAAGGTTTTTAGAAAATGGTAAGGGCCACACTGTGCAGATATTTTGTGTGTTGTTGGTTTTCTTAAGGTGTCCTGCTTTTATCTTTGTATCAGGAATATATATATATAAATACCTTAAGAATGAAGGTTGCATGAAGGTAGTGAAATGTATACACACACACAGAGGACAGAGTATGTTCACACAGCAAATAGGTAGCAGCAGGATTTAATAAGAAGGCTACAGTGATAAGCACGTATCTTAGCCAGATGAGCATGCTGACTAGCAGCCTGCTTACACAATTGGCCCTTTATCGCCCCTTTCTCTCCCTTTCTCCCATGCTTGTTCCTCCCTTCTCCACTTTGAAACTCCGTTTTCTCTCATCTTGTTCTCTCCCAAATACACAGCCCATGCATAATTACTTTTTCCCTTTCATTCCAGTTTTTCTACATCCATATGCAAATTTGGTACTTACAATATTTTTACCTGGGCAATCTCAGCCTTACATGGTGTCAGTGGTATGATTACCTAGGGGCTGGCCTTTCAAGAACCTACTCCCCAAAAGGTCCCAGTTATTCTTCTTCAGGTATCTGTAAAGTTTGCAAGTTTCTTATATAATTCCACCGCAACTCTGTGAAATGCAGCCATTTGTCACAGCGCTGTCTGCAACTTTTATCAGCTTCTTGCACTGTTACCTGTTACATGCAGCGATTTCTCGTCTCATATCCAGTAGCTCCTGATGTCCTCTTCAGTTAGCTTATCTCAAGCCGGGGCCCTGGTCACCTACCTACAACCTTATTGTGCACATTTTGACACTTGTTAAAATATGAAGGAAATATGATTTTAGAGCTTCAGTGGTAGATGCTAAATTAAATCAGATTTTTGGCAGTCTTGATTGATTTGTGTAACTGATTCTTTTTGTTCCCAGGTAAAAATCAATATTCAGGGAGATGTAGTTGATCGTGGAAGCACTAACTTGGGAGTAAACCAAGCTGGTTTTACTTTGCACTCTGCAATTTACGCAGCTCGACCTGATGTTAAATGCATCGTTCATATCCATACGCCAGCAGGGGCAGCGGTAAGTTTTAGGACTGTCTTGTTCTCCCCACCCAGCTGGAAAATAGATGGGTCCCCCTTAATCATAGATTTGCCTACCCTTTTGAAGGGGACAGAGCCTTTAAGTCTGCCTTCAAATATGTGGTTCTGTTTGAGTCATTCGGATCTTCCTCATTTGATTGCTACGTGAGTGGTCAGACAGTAAATTGAGCTCTACAATTGAAAAATACATATTTCATATTTGTGTGTCCGTTACCACTAAAGACCTTATCTTTTGACAGTGAGTCATAAGAGCTTTAGCATATTTTCTTGGTGTTGTAAAGCACAATTTATCAAGATTTTCTTAAACATTTGAAACTTTTCCAATATCTCTCCTTGGAGCAACTGATTACAAGTCAGTTTTACCTCTGGAATTTTTTGAGTCATCTTGTGACAATATTTCAAAGTTCACATTCTGATTTTTTTTTTTTTTTTTTTTAATTATTCTTTCAGCAGATTAACAGCAGTAATACAACCATTTTAAGGATAAATTATCAGATTCCTAAAACTGTGAATTAGAGAGTAGTCCTTAAAAGTGTTCCTTAACTCTGCCTGCAGTGTTGCAGAATTACCTGTGTCAAGTTCATCACTAAATTTCTTCTTTTTGGAGGAAATAAAAAATAATTTAAAAAAAATCACTGAGTGAAAGGAATGAAGGATGCAGTTGATTTTGGGGGTTGGATTTTTGTTTTTCTGAGTCTTTTTATAGTGGTGTTGATGTCATGTAAAAGCAACCACACTGAGTCAGACCCAAGATCAATGTGACTTTTGTATCCAGTCCAAAAGTTGTCAAAAATAGAGGCTTTAGGGATGGGAGTATAAGACCACTGTGTCTGTAGCTGTACGGACACATACAAATAATATATAAAAATCTGGTTTTATTATAATTCTTATCATTAGTATATTTTCATTTTTTTCCAGTTTTCTGTTGCAAGAAATTAAGTCACTTCTTTAAATATTTCTCAGGTTTCTGCAATGAAGTGTGGTCTCTTGCCAATCTCACCTGAAGCACTTTCTCTAGGGGAAGTAGCTTATCATGACTACCATGGCATTTTAGTGGATGATGAAGAAAAGGTGGTTATTCAGAAAAATTTGGGGCCTAAAAGCAAGGTCAGTATTTACGTCTGGAATGAAAAAAGTATGTGTGTGTGGGAGGAATGTTCTTTAGTCAAGAGCAAGAAAATACTTGCCTTACTGCTGTTAACTTTCTTTGCAATGTCTCTCTAGGTCCTTATTCTCAGAAACCACGGCTTAGTCTCAGTTGGAGAGACTGTTGAGGAGGCTTTCTACTATATTCATAATCTAGTGCTTGCCTGTGAGATTCAAGTAAGAATTTTAGTATGTTATGTAATAATACGGTCTGCTATATTAACCTTCAAACAGATTAATAGTTGTGAGCTTTACTGGTTAAACTCTTCATTGAAACTAACACAGTGATCTGTGAAATCATATTATGCAAGAGCATCCAAATCTTTGGTTTAACCAGCAATATTCAAATACTGTATTGGAACCATTGCTTATACTGCCTATTAAAATAACGATATTTTCAAAGCCTTGAGGCAAATTTTATACAAGTATAAAAATTTATTTACCTTTAAAATTAAGTAGGTTTCTTCTGGTTTGCTGATGTCAATTGTTTTTAGGTTTTTGGGTTTTTTCCCTCCCATCGAGAAACTAAAATGTGACTTTATTGTTTTTAAGGTACGCACCCTGGCCAGTGCAGGTGGACCTGACAATTTAGTGCTTTTAGATCCTGGAAAGTATAAAGCCAAGTCTCGTTCCCCTGAGTCTCCAGCAGGTGAGGGTACTGTATCCCATCCAAAATGGCAGATTGGCGAACAGGAATTTGAAGCTCTTATGCGAATGCTTGATAATCTGGTAAGACAGGCGTTTTTGTCCAGTTGTTTCATATGATAATGTATAAAATACTTACAAAGCTACAATAAGGGACATTAGTAAAGAATGGGCTGTGTGTAGTTGGGATAGTTTATACAACCTGCAGGCTGTTTTTTCCCAAAGATTAAGGACCTTCATAAAAAGTGTCACAAAATGTTTCAGGTGACCTTTGTGCAGATAGCAGATTTAATTCTGTATTTTGGCACTTCCAAATGAGAGTACTGTCATGCTTGCTACTCCTTAGTCTTCCCCTCCCAAAATGCGTAAAACAGTGTCAATGTTTTGTCAGGTGCAGGGCCCAGCGTGACTTGACTTTTACTCAACTAGCACCTAGAAGAGCTCAAAAGACAGACTTCAAATAAATAAATAAAAAGTCTTCAGATAAAATGGTTTCAGTAAAATCCCATCTGTAATGAATATCCAGCTACAAACATTTCCTGTCCAGCTTTAATGGAAAAGATGATACCTTTCCTGTCACAAGGCTCCAAGCGGTGACTGTAGATGGTGGTAATGAACATACCAAAAAATATGGTCACTGTAATAATCAGACATAGTCTTCTGATTTGTGATTTAATTAAATCTTTTTCCTTTGAAGACTTAGCTGTGGTCTTCAGGCTCGTGTGATGCATGTGCCCCTGGCAGGATGCACAAAGATGATGATATCTTAAAACACTATCCATCACCTGTGCTATGTAGTAAATAATTAGGGGTTTTCCCCCTCAGATCAGTGTCCTATCTGTAGTATGGGAAAAAAATAAATCGGACTACTTCATTAGTAATTTGAGTATCTAATGTTTTCTTATCAGACAAAGTGATCAGCTATAACCTTAAGTCGACAGAAAATATCTTGTCGATTTTAGTGAGCAATAATGAGATTATTAATGTAGTTGGCTATGGGTAGGAGAATCCCTGTATCACTGACACTACCTTCAGCAGATGCAGTTGGATTTGAGTTTCTCTAGGGAGTATCAGTTTTATGTTTCTTACTGCGAGCAGGAAGCAGAATCGCAAAGGAAGTCGCATTGTACACGCTGGGAACATAGTGATAGAAAGGAGCTTTCAGCTGTCCAGTGCAGCCCCTTGCTATTAAAATAGCCACATATTATATTGGATAGTTAACTATGTTAGTCAGTAGGTGTGCTTTGATCATTAATTCAGCTGTCCAGTGCAGCCCCTTGCTATTACAAATAGCCACATATTATGGTTATATATATAGTTAACTATGTTAGTCAGTAGGTAGTTACTCGGGGTGCACTTTGATCATTAGAAGATGGAGCAGCAGCCAAGATAATGCCTCAGGAGCGCTTAATGCATGAAAACTCTGCAAAGAAAGCTAAGTCTGCATACTTGGGACTGAAGTTTCTGTACATCTAGCTTTATCTATAAAGAATTTGAGTGCTTTGGGAGGTAGGTTATTCACAGATTATCTTTGAGCTACATAGAAGATAATTTGCTAGTGGAAATTTCTTAGAGAAACTGTTAAATGTTCTTTTTGTATGTTAAATGCTGAGCAAAATATGGAAGAAAGCAGGGGAAAGCATGACTAATGTGTTATGGAAGGTAAGAAGGCAAACTGTAATTCAGAGGAAGTAGGAGAGAAAAACATAGGTAGACAAGATCAGGGAGAGGAAAGAATATGGACGTAAAAGTAGCATTCTTGAAGCCTTCCCTTGTACACAATATGTTGAATTCTAGATTTTAGAATGCAGAAGAGATATTTTTATCTGCCCTATGTTTTATATTAAAACGTGGAGATGTAGGAGACTAATTCTGCTGTTATGCTTCTTCAGGGTTACAGAACCGGCTATCCCTATCGATGCCCTGCTCTGAGAGAGAAATCTAAAAAGTACAGCGATGTTGAGATTCCAGCTAGTGTCACAGGGTACTCCTTCACTAGCGATGGCGAATCAGGCACTTGCTCCCCCCTCAGACACAGTTTTCAGAAACAGCAGCGAGAGAAGACAAGGTGGCTGAACTCTGGCCGAGGGGATGATGCTTCTGAAGAAGGGCAGAATGGCAGCAGTCCCAAGTCGAAGACTAAGGTGTGGACGAACATTACACACGATCACGTGAAACCCTTGCTGCAGTCTCTCTCGTCCGGTGTCTGCGTGCCAAGCTGTATTACCAACTGCTTGGTCTGTGCCTACCTTACTGTTCATAGTTAGATGATGTAGAGCAACTTGGGGTGGCTGGCACTTAGAGGCTTTGGGAAGAAAAAGATTACTCTCCTAATTCTTTTCTTCTTTCTTATATAAAAAACCTAAATGTGTTCTACTAACCACTTAATTTGGCTTTGATTAGATGTGAAGTGTAAAAAATCATCTCGCTTCTTAATGCTTAAAACTGCTTAAGACTTTGGAGCCTCTAGTTTTCTTTTGGCTTTTCAAGCTAATGACCAAACAGATTGAATCATAGTTTTAGCTGAATAGGCTCTGCATTTAAATGGTTTAATTAAGGACAACTGTGTTAGGGAACTACTAATTCTATCTGCATGAAAACTTTTCAGTTAAAACAAAAATGAAACTAACCGTTCAATGTAGTTTTGTATGAGTATATATAAAATTAATCAAATTTCTACCCTCTGGGACATACACCAACTTAATTTGCAAGCCATTTGCAACCCTCTCTATGTACAAGAGGGTAGAATTGATTTCAAAGTATTTAACTCTTGGTTGTTTTTCCTTAAGCAGTTTTTCTTACCTAGTTTCTCAGCTCCTCTTCCTGTCCTGTTTACTACGCTTTTATCTACCCCAAAGCCTCTGAGTGTTCACAACCAGCTGCCTTCTGCATGTAGTGTTGCATGTAAGTAGATGGCCATAAATGGAAAGTCTTTCCTAAAGTATCAGCTGGGTGCGGCATGACTAAAGTGCAGCTCAGGCCATCAGCAGGCACTAATCGATAGATTCTGCAACTGGTGCTTTTTTTTTTGTTTGTTTATCAATGCTGCTTACAGTTAAATTTTGCACTGAAAGATATGTTGATTGAAAAGCGAAGGTATCAAATGCTTTCAAATGGAGATCAGTAGCTGTTGGTGTATAATGTGGTTTTGATATTTTCTTGGGCATATACAGAGCACCTAAAATGTAGACAGGGATTTGTACCCATACAAGCTTTTGTAACGGTCAACTTCAAGCTCAACTATAGTAATTCAGTAGTACTTCAGTAGAGGTACTATGTGTAGCAGCAGTATGGTTACAGGTGAGTCTTAAAATAAAACTAGTGCTCTTGAAAAGGAAAAAAAATGCACATTTTTTTTCCAGAACACCTCTTCATTCTTATTTACCCCTACAAAAACTCTGCTTCACCTCTGAACGCATTCAGAGTTCTCTATAGTTATAATGCTTTTCTGGAATGATTACTCAGGCAACGTGTTTGCTAAAATACATAGTGTTAACATGTAGAAAGCTCTGAAAAAACAGAGGATCTCTGTGGCATTTTTGTGATGTTCTTTTTGGCTTAAGAAGTTAATATATACACATATTGTTTGTACTATCAGCATTTTACTAAACTCAAGTATAGTTTTGCTGTGGTTGGAAGAAAGCTTAAAGCTATGCATGTGTTTGGAGCAATTTGTGCTTTTCAAGCTTAGCTCATAAAGAAGGTAGTATTTTATCTTTGAAATTATCAATGAAAGTTTGAAGCAAAATTCCTGCTCAGAAACTAGTCTTGTTTAATGATACACTGAAGCAATAGAAAATCTCATACAGTATAACAGGTTTGTGTAATTAATTTTTTTTAATGCTTGTTATTAACCTAAAGAAAAAGTAGCTTGTTATGTTGAGGTTGTTTTTATATATGTTTTGACTAAAAACTATCTTTAATAAAAAGCTGGAGTAGTTTTTATCTGAGAAGATAATCATCAGTGAGTATTTCACAGCTCCATGTTCATTCCATTTTTTACTTTATAGTTGCAAAACATTTTAAAATTCTGTTGCTTTCTGAAGTTTGAGAGTTTCTGGCTATCTTATTGTTTCTTGAAGTTACTCAGGAAAAAACGCATAGCATTTGCTCTATAAACAGGTTTGCTTTACTGTTCGGTGCATTTTCTATGCAACAGTGATTGGAAATTAGGACACCGCATATAATAAACATATCAAGACAAAGAGTTAGTCGTGCATCAAATTAACTAGAGCTCCATACTAAATGCACTGATCAAATAAAGCAACCTTCTATGAAGAACCCATGAAGCGCTTAAAGTTTGTGTTTGGGATATTTTTGTAACCTTTTGAGCTATGAGTTATAAAATATTCGACATCACCAAACTGTTCCTCTAGGTTGCTGTGCTATTTATTTGTGCAGAAACTAATTCTGGAAACAGAACATTTTGCTGAAGTAGCTTGTTTTAATGCAAAACTTTGGTGATGCCCACTCTTGCTTCACAGTACAGAATCATTCACTAAACCTGGTTAGTGACATCACATTGCTTTTCATACTTCTGTCATCTTATGCTTTAAGTTCGCTTTGATGTTTGTTGAGTATCGGAGGATTGAATCAATGATCTCTCTGTCTCTCTCATGCTGTTTTTGTAAAAACACCCAGTGCAGAAAATGAAAATGGCAGTAACAGGGTTTTACAGCTCGTGTCTTAGATCTTGCTGTACTTCTGTTTGGGTAAGGAATAGCGTCCTTTTTAAACAAATATGAACTCGCTATGAAATTTCTGATTAAAATGTCCTTAAAAATAAGTAATTATAATGGAGTTTTCCTACTCATGTATTAATGTGTCTCTTCGTAAAGTGAGAAGTAGACGGTTTTTAGAAACACACAACACTGCAGTTGTCAGTGTGGTCAAGTGCACAGAAAAACAGGTTAAAACCCTTTTGGTCTCCATAATCTCAGAATTGCACATATCTGTAGTAATTTCTGTAGCATCATTTAAAGTGGAAGTTACTTGCAAGTTAACTGGCTTTCTAGTTTTTGTTGTTGTTACTAGCTTGACATCATAGAATGATTCTGATATTTATAAATGTATCTGAAGGTACAGTTTATACTACTGAAGAAGCAGCAACTTAAATATATTCTTAGGAATGAATAGAAGAATGCAATCATTGGTTCAGTTCTCTGCTATGTATAATGCATGATCAACTGTTCTGTAAATTTGCTGCTCTGAGTGTCTAAATCCATTACAGCAATTCTGACTGTTCAACTGTTCTTGGTATTACAGTGGACTAAAGAGGATGGACATAGAACTGCCACCTCTGCTGTCCCTAACCTGTTTGTTCCATTGAACACCAATCCAAAGGAGGTCCAAGAAATGAGGAACAAGGTTTGTAATAGCAGTAAAATAACTTCTTTTTTTTGGTCATTGCTACAATTAAGTTGTGTACTTGTAATAAACTAACTTACTTTGCTATAGTGAAATTTTGGGAGTTCAATAACATAGGCCCAGTATTGTCCCGCCTCTTTATACTAGATACTAAAACAATTCCTAAATGTTTTGAACTCATCTTGGGAAAAAAGTGGTATTTACTAGTCACTGTATGAAGACTTCCATTATCTTATATTTGATACTGGGTAACAAATAGAGTTGCTGGATACGTCTGAAACAGCCATCACTGAGTTTATGGTAGTAATTCCGTTCTGGAGTTCATAGTTTCAGATTAGCGACATGTTCTCCTGATTTGGTTTCACCAGTTGAAATAGTAGCCTATACAAAGAAGTCTAAGGATCTCTCTCCATATTTTATTTTATTATATTAAAATCTGTTGTGAATGTTGCAGAAATTTTGTTGGGCCTCTGGAACCACGTTAACCTTTTTGAAATGACCTAACAGTTAATTTTCCAGTCTTTAAATTTTAGATCTTGTCACCAGTCTGCCAACAGGAAAGCATTGAATTCATTGGGGATTTTCCACTTTGTTTCTTTGAAAGTACAAAATATGCACTGGTCTCTTAATACTTAACTTGTTCTGGATTGTTTTGCTGCTTCTAACTGATGGCCATATGGAACATGGGAGTTAGCATTATGTCACAGGAAAGCCTGTGTGCAGGGGTACTAGCAGGAATACTGATTTGTGCTAAAATAATTCATATAAGGTTGTCAGAACTTTAGCTTTTCCTGACTCGGCACTGTAAAATAATAATCGCTTGAAATGAGAAGTCTGGTGAAGTTGCCAAGCAGTTTCTTAGCATTTGAAACACAAATATTGCTGTATTAAAAGCTTGAATGAAGTGACTAAGAGGAGAGAAGTAAAACTTCAAACTTTATGCTTTCCTGATGGCAAGAAGGGTAGTAAAGTAGAAACAAGTACAGATGGTGCGTGATCTTCATACTTTCTGAAATACCAACTATTAATAATACCTTGTGTTTGTATACTTGTTTGCATGTATTCTTATATAAATTGAATGCCCTTTTTAGGTGTAAAGTAGAGGTCTTTCTGGATACGTGCTTTTCATTTGTTGTGGAACAAGAACCAGAATATTTTAGAAATGAATGTTGAATCAGTTGTAATGAATTCTTTACCACTGTAGATTGTCTAATTGAAATCAATAGTACTAGATTTAGATATCGAGTTTCTGTTCCCATCGTCTGAATGGAAAGAACCAGGAGCTATTTAGGATGCAACGAAAGGGTGTGCTTGAGTACAGAAAAATATTTATATGTCCTTTTGAGAATATGGTCCTGACAAGATGTAAAAATTGAATGTTGTGCAGTGTTTTACGGCAAGTTCTGTAGGAAGATGGTACTGTGGTGCAATAGGCTAGTGACAGAAGCCTGTAAATGACTGGTCAGGTACAATAGATATATAAATATGGCCTCTGTGCTTCTCTTCTCACTTTTCTACAAGTTCAAATTCTTGAACTAGAATTGTGTGTTACCTCATCTGTAGAGTTTTACCGTGAACCAGTACTAAAAAGCAAAGGATCGTACGTGCTGTGATACTTGGAGACTAAATTCTGAGAAATGTGAGGAAACAACTAGGAGCCTTATCTTCAAGTGGTGTTTATAAGCACAGCTTTATTTGATGGGTAGGGCCATAGCAACCAACAGTAGTTGCAGCCTGTGGCAGGTTCACCCACCTATTTTTCAAATGTGAAAATGTGGTTAACTTTTTCTTTTGCTCATGTAACTGTATTCTGCTGCTTCCTTTACAGATCCGAGAGCAAAACTTGCAAGATATTAAAACTGCAGGCCCTCAATCACAGGTTCTTTCTGGGGTAGTTGTGGACAGAAGTCTTGTACAGGTGAGAGTATAAAATACCTAAAACTATTAGCTAAAAGTTAATCTACGATATCCTCTGCTTTCACCTAATATATCACCATAAAATTATTCTTTAATTGGCAGAGAGTAACTGTCTATAAGGTAAGTCTTAGAGGTAACACCATTGTCTTTGCGAGAGTGCTCAGGATCAGATATTTCAGAGGCTTCAGCCATGTAGCCCAAGCATGTCTGTGGAGGATGCTTCTTGGTTTTGGGGTTTTTTTTGCTGAATGTAATGCATGAAATTCAGAAGGCTTCTTTATATGGGTTAGATTCTTGTTCAAAACTAGTTGGGCTTTGTGACAACTTTTTGTTTGTTTTCCAAGTTTATGTACCTTGAAGTATTAATTCTGGGCACAGCAGGCTCGCTGTGGGCAGTAGTGTTGTGTGTTAAATATGTTTTGTCATGCTTCATAATATTTTATTTAAAGAGCACTTTGCAAAAAAAGCTATTATACTTCAATAAAACTTAAAAGCAGTATATCTGGATATACAAAAGACTTTGAATCTATGAGTCATAGCTCAAAGTAGAGTAAGAATTAGAGCTATACAATACACTGTATAGCTCAATGACTTTGAAGCTCTGTATGTTGCTTTGACTGCCCCAGATAAGTATTTTCTGATATACTTTTAAAAGTTTGGCAAGTCTTACCATGACCATAGCATTATTCATGTTGGATGTCATATTGTGTGCATGTCGATTCATTGTCATTTGCAATTTTATCTACCACGTAGTGTTTCTTTGCATGTTTTTAGCAAGCATCATAATGCTTTTGGTTGATGTTTTAAAGCCTGGGCTCGGTTTGCTCTGTTTACTGAATTTACTGTTGCAGGATGCTCCCCTCTCAGACTGTACGGAATCTATTGAAGGGCTCGATCTCACAGAGCAGGCCTTTAGTCCCGCTAAATCTCTGTCTGTTAGAAAGGTACTGCCCTGTCATACTGCTCTAAATGCTGTTGTTCACCCTTCATTTTACCTCTTCCTTACCCTGCCCTTTCCCTCTGTTAGTTAATGGTTTGGCTAGAAAAGAAAAGTAGATGGATCTCCAAAGTATGTATATGCAACTATACCAGCAGTTACTTTACCCTGTTAAAGTATCTGTTAAGGATTTTGATCGTTGTCTGTAGAAACTGGTGAGGAAACGCTTTTGATGTTAAGGTGCTGATTAGGTTCTGCATATAGTGGGTTTCTTTACGTATGCTATTAGTGTTGAATTACTCTAATTTGAGATCCATTTTGGGTTAGGTTAAACTCAGCCTGAGTACATCAGTGTAATTCCGAAGGTATCCACATGTTCAGAGTGTGTCCCGCTGACAAATGCTGGCAACTTTTGATCCTACATTGCTACATGTCTTGTTTCCTTAAAACCTCCTGCGGTATCTACAGGAGTTGCTGAGTAACGCCCCACACTTCCAAAATCGATTGGCTTTCAAACATGCAGTCGTGCTTGTGCTTATGAAATATACTTTAAATTCAGAATAAATTCAGGGGATGTATCTATGGTTGGGGTGAGCAGTCCTTTGAGCCTGAGTGAACAGGAACAGTTTACACATTGGAAACAATCTGTCCTTAGCTGTAATTCTCTCCAGGTTTTGAAGGAATTTCTTAGAGGGGATCTAACATGGAAACACAGTGTGTAAATAAGCATCAGTGTTTCTTCTGCTCCAGTATTTCTTCAATTAGGTGGTGCCCAACAGCTCACTGTCAGAATAGCTTTCCCAGCAAAAACCAGAATACTTAGAATTACTTCATTGTTGCAAATCTCATGACTTTAAAATAGTTTCTAGTGCAATGAGCCAGTTTAGATTTAGATAGTCATATCATACTGAGAATTTTATAATGATGGTTTTCAGATTACAGTTTGTTTTATCCGTATTCTGAAAAGAAAAATAATAAAATACTATTTCCAGAATTAAGATGAACAACAAAACAAAGCCAAATTCTTCCAGGAAGTGCCTGCCTTTTACTCTCCACTTAATAATAGCATTCAAATTTAAAAAAAAAAAATATGATAGTCATCCATTGCTTATCACAACACAGTTTCTTTCATCAATGGTGTGCAAGATATATTTCAAGTATTATTCTATAAAACTAGTCAGATATTTTACATTTTTGTAGATGGCAAGGAGCCAACATAACATCTGTTGGTTATATGATTTTGCCCAGTATAATATTAGGGTTTAGATGTCCAGATGATGTATTTCCTCCTTGTGGTATCATGAAAGTGCTTTCCTACTGAAATACTGCTTGAAATTAGATCATAATGTTAATTCCAGTAGGAATGGCCTATATCATTATTTTTTTTTCTCTTAATATAGATTGTGACCTGAATGCTTAATAATTTCCTGTTCTGGGAAGAAGCCCACAAACTAACAAAACAAAACACACAAAAAACCCCCCAATGAACCAAATGAAAACAACAAAAAAAGCCCCAAACCACCACCAGAGAAATTTTCTAGTATGATAATGCTAAAAATCAGTCATGTATTGTGGAACAAAGGAAGTCCAAGCAATCTTATGATGCCCAAATAAAGCTCACATGAAACTTGGCATAAAACTTTGAGGGGACCTGTACATTGAGGACTTCTAGGTACCAGATTATTGCAAGTTCTCAGTTGACAAATTCTTTGACACTTGATTTATGGTTAAAGTAAAAAGTGCCATCTGATTGCAGTAAACCTTAAAATGTATAATGTTTTCAGTTAACACTGAGAATTCTATCAAATACTAATGCACACTATTTTGAATGAAAAAAAAATCCTGTTTGTGTACAGCATGCATGTAACGCTTTGAGTCTTCCGTGCCTATGGCTGCAGTAGTAAATAATCCATTTTGCCTTGTCACGTGCTGTGTCCGTGTTCTGAGAAGTCCTGGCCATGTTGCAACACAAGCTCCTTGTGCATCATGTAATTTTGTTCCTGTTATAGACTTGGTCAACTCAGCTTCTGCTGCAGTCTTGGCTGAATGAGAGGAAATGTTGGTTATTCTTACCAATGACCATTCTATAATCTGGATTTTTTTCTTTTTCAAAAAATCAATTCACGTGAATTCTCAAGAATTTTAAGTAAAAGGGGAATCACCCATTTCCTGTCACTCCCTTTAGACTGGAAGATCTGTGGCTTTGCTCTTCAGGGAGAGCCTCTCAGTCCTGCCCCAGAGGTGGCACTGTGTTTTAATGGCGATTTATACATGAACAGTACTTTAAGAGTCCTGTGGGTTTTTTGGATAAAGGCACTGCATTAATGCCAGATTGTGTTAAGAGCAATGATTAACTTTAGACAGTTATTATGAACCTACTGTCTGATTAAGAGAAAAATCAGCATGTATAAGGTGCCAGTTTTGCTCATATCTATCCCTAATCTGTCCCACAAGATGAAGTGCTTGCCTGGTGAATGATGCTCAGCTCATAGTCAGCAGTTTTGAATTTCTCCCCAAAAGGAAGATTTTGTGGAGAAGTTGCAAAATGACTTGATAATCTAAATTTTCCTTGTAAGGTATGTGAGGTCCAAGTTTAGTATGAAAGAATATTGTATATCATTAGCTATAAATGACTTTCCCTTTGGATCTTTGTGGGGGAGTATGTCCCCATATGTGCAATCCAACTTCCAATATTCATCAAAATAGTACTAGAATCATCATCAAAATAATACTTGTATCAGCATAATCCAGATGAAATCACTAGAACATTGGTTTTTTGCACGTCACCCTGTATTGAAACAAGGTGCCAGTCTTTTATAAGGGGATTTATTCCCTCCCTAATACTTGAAGCAACTCTCCACCAATTTTCTTATTCCATTTTTCTGAATGTTTGTAGGAAACTCTAAATGGCATGGACATGCTGATAGCTCTGCAAAGTCTTGTCTATTTTAGTGTCACGTTTAACAGTCTAAAATATGTCCTGTATTGTCTTTTTGGTCCTTCATACTCGTTTTCCTTCTGTCCCATGTTACTCTCTTCACTTTGTTACTCTCTTCATTTGTTTTCCCCACAGAGTCAGTCCCTCTAACTTAAAATTTCACTAGTGGCCTTTGAACTGCTTCTGTATTATTGATACTGGATGTGTTAATCTGGAAACAGCTTTTAGCAGATCAAAAGTTTGCCTTTCTGGTCTTTCTTCTGCTTATACAGTCTAAAAACACAAGTGCTTTTTCTTTGTAATACATAATCTGCTTACTGTTGTTGCCTCTGATCTTTTTTGGTATTATTTCTATGGGGCCAAAGATACACAATTAGTACCAATACTGTTTGCATTGATTGTGGGAATGCTTTTTTGTGTTTGGTTTTGGTTTGTTTTGTTGTGGGGTTTGTTGTTTTTTTAAATTTAGTAATCGTGATAAGCTTGGTGTGCTGCTTTTGTTCCCCATAGTTAAGGAGGGTACTTTTTTAAGGAAGAGAACCCAGAATGCCAGTGCCCTGGTCATCTTGCTGCAAACTGCGTGTCCTGCTGTTTGCCATTATTAAATCAATGGGCATTCACTAAAATTCCATTTAATTTGCAAGTTGTTCTACCCAGTCACTTTGGATTTAACTTGCAGACAAGACTCAAAGATTCTTAAACATTCCGGAGATACCGGTGTGCACTGTACATCTTGTTCCTCTGTTGACTTCTGTAATCCTAGAAAACTCTAGGAGCTCTGTCAGAGGTCAGTGCTTTAGGAGCCCCTGCTACTTACTGCTGTGTTTCAGCTAAAACTACATATTTAGTGTGAAGAGGGGGCAGAGACAGAGAGGGAAATACAGAATTCCCATGGGCACCAGTTTTCTGCCATCATTAAAAGCTGGGACCCATAGTTTCGGGGGAGGTTTGCATTTTCTACAAAACAATTAGCATTTGTACAAAGGTTGATGTTTTTGTGACATTTTAATGCTTTCTCCTGTAAGAAAAGCCATGACTCAAATGGGAGGTTTTCTGGTTTTAAGACAGCTGCTGCTTAATAGAAGTAGTTGAGAAAAGACTTTTGACATTCTACTGACATTCTGCATCCAAGACAAGAGTTCCTCTTATTTTATAGAGAAATGGAGGTGATCTATGTTGTCTCCTGCGGTTCCTTTTGGGATGTTGCAGTGGAGAGCTGTTATTTGTTCTTCAGTGCTTCTGGCTGGTGTGTGCTGCCTGAAGAGCAGCACCGATTCTAACAACCAGCTGCTCTCGCCTCCCTGGATTGCTCTAGAGCAGATTTCTGGAGATCTCTCAGGAGGCTTTTGGCCATATCTAACGGCTCTTGTCCACATTCCATCAGGACGTTCTTGTCTGTCACCTTTTTGGTGCTGACAGCTTGTCCAAAGCAGCTCTTAGCATTCAAAACAGTACTCTGCCTAATTTCATCTGCTGTTTTACTTGATGGACAGGCGTGAGATCCTCACTGTGTGGACACTGAATGGAATGTTTGTCTCTTTGTGTGGGTGCTATTTATTTTTGAACTGTGCTTTTTAGTGCTTTCTTTTAAATACTGGTACAAATAACATTTGAATATGAAGATGGCTTGTGCCAATCAATAACCCATACGGGGTAATGGGATTCAAATGCCTCTTTTCACCAGTGAAGACAATTCCAGTATCATAATGACACGGAGCACAGGCCACACATCAGTTATTTCCAAACTAGTGTCAGTAGGGTTCTGTACATCCCATAAAAAACACAAATGCTTAAACAAGTCACTTGAAAGATGCAGCAGTCATCCAGGCAAGCAGCTTCCACATCCGAGACGATGAAAAGCCTGTGGGTTTAGTCTTTAGACTAAAGAAGAAAACTAGACTAGAGAAGAAAAACTAAAAATCTAAGCATTAGAGAATCTCTGATGCAGCTGCTTTTGTCCATTGGAACTTACTGTACTTAGAATTGCTAATGTTTTATTTTTATTTGTTTAGCCTTTTATCTGGCTTGTATGACAGATGTTATAGATGTAAATATGCTAACTTGTATAAGATTAAAATTAACCTTAATTACTTAAAAATGACTTGGAATAAACTGTTAATCTGGTGTATATAGAACACATACAAGATGGCTTTTCACTATAACATCTGTTAGAAGTTAGGTAGGAGCTACTAGAAATGGCTTTTCCCTTATTAAAAAAAAACACCAAACAAACCTGAATCAAACAAAACGAAACCACGAATAAAAATACCTGTGAGCTCCATGGGTATTGTGTGCCAGGGCTGCCCCGCGGGGGGGGCCTGCTCTCCTCTTTCTTTTGTGGTATGTCAGAGATGATTCAGCTACAGACTGTCTGGCTGCTGTTTGATTTACTGCTTGATGGTGGATATTCCCTGGTGGAAACACTGATGTGTCTGTAAGAGTAATTAACGAGACCTGTTTTGTCCTTTATATTAACCTGCTGTCGATTTAAATTAAAAAAATAATATATTCTGTGATAGATTATTTTTTTTAATCAAAAAGAAAATAACTGTAGCATTTTTCAGATTATCTTTTCGTTTTGATTGCTTTGTAGCCTCTGTATTTCTTAGGCTTCTACAAGTTACTGCTCGATTGCAGATGTATCTTCCTTTTTTTTTTATTTTGTCAGGGAGAACTGGTGACTGCGTCAAAGGCAATAATTGAGAAAGAATATCAACCAAAAGTCATAGTGAGCACAACAGGACCAAATCCCTTCAACAAACTCACTGATCGAGAACTGGAAGAATATCGCAAAGAAGTAGAAAGAAAGCAGAAGGGACCAGAAGGTTGGTTTCTCTGTCCGTGCTTTTTCTGCAATAACAGAAATTTCTAGAATAGCAAGTTTATTACTAATTGGAAGGTGGGGTACCTGCAAAAGCCATGGAGAAATTATTCAACTTCTGCATGTTTTGGTTTTTTCAGTGTGAATTAGACATTTTAAAAGCGTAATGGAGATAGAATGTGTGATCTAAGTGTTAATGGAGTATTCTGTAAAATGAGTAGTTCTTATTTTAAAACATACCCTGGTAGGCAAACTGGGGTGTTTGGTGTGGCCAGTTACTGCTGGTATTGGGGAGTTGAAAGCTTGACATTTCAGTCAAAAAAAATGTTGATGTTCTGCAAAGTATTGCAGATTGTTGTGCTTTGTTTCCCTTGGCACTGGAGAGGGTCCACGGTGAGAGAACGGGGCTGCTTTTTAGCAGTAAAGCTGCAGTTTTCTAACTCGCTGACAGTTGTGGATTTGAGAAATCCCTTGAATGGGGAAGCTACAGAACAACATTTGATTGCTACTTGGAAATGGCACATCTTGCGGGCTTCCCCCAAAATAGGCTGTCTTAAATACTTGTAGAATTATGAAAGAATCCTACTGTAAAGAGAGTTCATTGCTGCATCTCCAGTGGTTGTCCTGCTTTAGTGCTGTACAGTCTTAAGGGATGATATTTCTGACACTCAAATGTTGTTAGGTTTTGAATTTGAATGATGCAGGAACCAGAAGTGCCATTTCTTTTGCAGTGTGTGCTCCCGCCTTCTGCTTTCTGATCAGACAATGGGACAAAGGCATTGCAGGGCGTGTGTGTGTTCAGTTAACGAGTGTTGGACTGTGTGGGGTGGGATACGCTGCTGTTACACCTGTATAACTGCATACATTTATTCTCTCAGTAACATTGCTACATCCTTCTCAGATAAGATATCAAAATCTGGAGAGACTGTGTTACTGAGACAGACACCAGCTGGGGAACAGAGTACGTTGCTTAGAAATCAGTCCATCAGTGAGCAAAATACATCAGAGAAAAAATCTCTGGATTGGAAAGGCAGATCCAAAACCTTTCAAGGAACAGATACGAAGACTTTGCAGGATCGTGACGTATCATCACTGTCTAAATCTTTAGATAACACTCAGTTTGCTGCTGCGTGGGTTTCTTGTCAGACCACGCAGCCACTCATCACAGCCCTTAATGGAGAAGAGCCAGATGGGCAGAAGTCCTCCCATAAGGAATTTCATACTGCAGTGATCAAAGCACTGAGGTCCGATCCTGACCTTTTGGCTGAGGCCTCAGGTATTACTAACACGGTACCGCTGGGCTTGCAATCTAAGGAACAACCTCTTACCTGCCCCCTTCGGAGGCTCTGTCAGTTGACTCTCCTCTGTGGGACTGATTGCACTTTAATTGTTTAGGTGACCTGTACAGAACAATGTTTTAATGCCGTTCCTGATATACCGTGTACTCTATTAATGTTTTCCTTTGGATCTAGGGCTGTTTAAAACCTGGAAGCAAGGGGAACCCTCCTTACTAATAACAAATTTGCAAAATACTGTGAAATCTGTTTTGAATCATTTAATTACTGCATGTTTCTCTGATTGTCTGTGCAGCCTTCTCTTCTTTTGGGATGCGATTTTGTTTACTCCAAGTTTCAGCAATACAAAGCAAGCAAAAGAGAGTTATCTTGTGTAGGTCTGATAGCATTTCCCTCCCCCGGATTTGTTTGTATCTTCCGTGTGGTTTTTCCTCCCAAATGTTCTTTAGAACAGCGTGATAAACCAGTTCACAAACAATTACATTATTCTGGCCCTCTTCTGAAAACAAAAAACAAAACCAAAGCACAGCACCACAGAGCACAACTGAGTTGAACAGTTTTGTTAATACCGAGCTCTCACTTAATTTTCTTTTGCTTGTTTTGGTATCATTTAATACCCTGACAGAATTTTGATTCAGAAAAATCTATTTGTATCTTGTGTGCGTGGAGCAAAAGGACACTGGTTTTCTTCATCTGTCTGCCTTTTAAATTTCTCTCTGTCCCCATCTGCAGAGCCTTCAGAAGATGGCAGAGAACAGAAAGAGAGAACTCTCCCTGATCACCCTTCAGCTCGCACTCCTCCCAGTACGCCCATTAAAATAGAGGAAGGTATGTTCTTCTGATGTGGGGGCCAGGGGAAACCAGTAACTGCATCGTTAGTGACTGACGCATGAAAATATATGAACTAGTATCTAATAAAGGTAAATTATTTATTGTATTTTTATACTACCTAAAATCTACCACACTGAACTACGAGTGTTATAGGAGTTATGTTTACAATAATAAAGAAGTGTGCATTAATATAAAGACAAATTTTCATCTCTTCAGAATTGCCTCGTCATCTCGTGGTGTTTCTCAACTGATTTACCCTTTTGTACATTTTCTACAAGAAATAATTGCTCTTATGAAATGAAATAGTGTCTTATGGTGAACCAGACACAAATTTAGATGCTTTGGTAAATCTCCTTCACTGATTGCACATTTCTTAAACATTATTGTACTTGGATTACACCTCAGTAAATATTTTTTCTAGCTCAATTTGAATCTAAACATCATTATTTGCTCACCTTATGTAGTAGTTTTAACTAAAATGAGAGCAGGCCTGGTAAAATCTACAATTCCTCAAAAAAGGATAAAATAATAGTAATCTTGAACAGGTGTAATCTAATTTTTGTCTTGTTTCTTTTACCTCGTACATTGGATATATCACTTGTCTGTTAGTCTCCCATTCACTACTTCATCTCATTCTGTTTTCTATAAGAATGGTGGCAACCATTCTTCTGACTTAACACAATGGCTGTGATGAATGCATAGATTCTCTACTTGTGCTTTTTTCTTCTTGTGGCTGCGTTACAAACAGGAGATGGATATGCTAAAGAGTACCTGTTACCATAGTAAGTATCATTCCATACTCTGACCTGCTTTTGTGCTTTGCTTCACTCTTGCATCTTTGCTTATTAAGGCTTTTTGTTGGGTTTGCCTTTTTTTTTCTTCTTCTCCTTAAAGCAGTTGTTTTCAGTTAAAACGCTGATTTCTTTAGTTTGTGATTTCATGAAACTCTAGGTAGTTACAGAGCTTATGTTTAAACGCACTCCCCCCTCGGAAAGAGACTGTGAAAGTGGCATCATGTGTCTCCATATCTGTGTGTCTGATTCCTCAGTTTTAAAAGGAATAGTCTGAAGTTGGCTTTCGGATGTAGCTGGAACAGGTTGGGGAGTTTCTGCCCCAACAGTTTGCTGCCGCCTACACGACTTGGGCCTGGGACTGAGAAGGCAGCAGTTCCTGATCCATTCCAGTGCAGAAGTGTCACCACTGACATCGATTTAACTCACCCAGCAGACTCTGCACAGACCTGGATGTGGAACTACTCCTGTGTTACGTGTGTCAGCTGTAGGGAAATTCCAATTCCAACCAAGGAATTACAGCAAGCGCTTGGTGGCAGCAACTTCTCCAGCTGTTCTGGCTACATCTGCAGGGCTACCTCAGATTATACTTTAAAGGAATAAGGATGTTTGGCCCCTCCATTCGTATGTCCTGTTCTATCCGAAAGTCAGTGTGTCTGTCACAGATACCAAAGTCAAACTGCGTCATGGACAACTGTGATGTTATTAATGAAGTTCTAAACCCTGAAAATTCTTTTAAACTGGGAATTGTGTTCCAATAGACTCTTCTAGTTGTATAAGTTTTTGGGACAAACATACAAAGCTTGTTTTAGAGAGTAACTGGAAGTTCATGCCCTGACAACGTTGGTTGGCAGGAGTCTGTTGAATGGCAGTGTTCTCTGTACGCAGCCGCCTCTCAACCTTTTTTTCCTCATATTGTTTTACTATTTAAGTGTAGCTGAAGTCAGAGAAGTGTTTTGTGTTAACTCAGTTCTAGCCTAGTTTGTGTGTTTGTCCACATGTTTGTGTTGGAAAAAACCAACAAACCATAAGCCTTTATTTTTATAAATCATGGGAACTGTAAAGCCAGAGCAGTATTGTTACTTTCCAAACTCTTATGCCACAGTGTGTATAAAGGGAGAGCGTGGATGTAGACACGATTATTCTAAAAACCTTAAGAAATTTAGAGGTACTGCCGAGTTCTTAAAACTGTCAGCAGGTTTTGCAGCAAGATATATTTTTCAATCTTCCTAGTTACACTACTGAAACCCAACCAGTAGAATAGCAAGGCGGTTTACACAGTGCATGCTTTCTTTACTGTGTGTGGAATTTGTTAATCTCCCTAATTCTGGTAAAATATTGCCCTTAGCGAGCAAGATAAACAGATGTTTGTTTGATTCCAGCATAATGTTAATCTGTTTAGTAAAGATGATGGTAATTTGATAAACCGGGAAGGATAACAGTCCTGGATTAATGAGTTATAAAGCTGTTTATATTAATCTAATGCTTAGGCCAACGGGCAACTGCTATTTGAATGCCTGTAGCTTCTCATTCTCTAATTTTAAAGATTTCTAATCCCTTTTTAAAGACTTTGTTTAGAACTTTGTTTTAAACTTCTTTTTAAAAGATAAAATAAACCTGACAGTCTAATACGGTGCCTGTTCTAAAAACTGGGCCAGCTAATGAACAGGAGAGATGATTTCAGTTGGCAGGGAGCTACGAGGACCATTTATTCCAACCGCCTGAGCACTCCCCTTAAACACTGTCAGGCTCGGGGCAGCCACCACCTCTGGAGGAGCCTGTTCCAGGGACTGACCACCCTCTCAGTAAAGGGACCTTCCTCATGTCCACTCGGAGCCTCCCTGGTGCAGCTTTGAACCCTCCCCATGTGTCCTGTCCCCAGAGCCCAGGGAGCAGAGCTCAGCAGGGCTTTCAGTTAATTCCTGAGAAGTGAAATGAAATCCACAAAGCGTGTGGTAGCAGTGAAGAATTGTAGGTGCTGCTACTTACAAATTTGTGTCTCACATATGTATTAGGGGCTGAGCTGGAGCTTCAGGAGGCAGCTTGTAATGGACATAATTGCTTACTCTTTTTTACTCTACTTTAAATCCCGCCTGCGTTATAACTTTTAAATGGCTAACTGCTGCATTTGGAGTGTTTGGCACTGAATACTAGTGTGGTTTGTTTATTTAACCTATTAGAAGTTTCCTGGTGCTTTAGGCAGAACACATTGGGATTTCTAGCAGGTACTCACAGAACAGAGGCCTCTATAATATCTTAGAGGATTTTTAATTTCTGGCAGAAATAAAAAGAACACTCATTGTCATTTCCATAGGAAAAATCAGAAACTATCAAGTGTTTTTTTGTAAATTCTTGTGAAAGCCGTCAGTCTTTTCAAATTAAAATGAACAAGATTTTAAAAGGGGGGGGGGGGGGAAGTTGCCTTTCTTTTGTGCCTTACAATGAGCGTGGCCTGGATTTTGTTCTGAATTCCTCCTTACGTAACATCAAGGGGGATATATTTGACGCTGCTAACGAGGTACTTCTCAGCTACAGCACCGTGAGGAACATTGCGGGGAGCTTTAAAAAGTGCTTGTTAAATATATATATATGCACGAAGAGGAGCTTTAAACAGCACATCTCTAAAGCGCAGGGGTGAAAGAGGGAAGTGTTACAATAGAGGGAGGAGGGGTAAAGTTCACCGTTGGACAGAAGTTACCACTAGATTGTTGATGTTCCTTTACACAGGGGTGAGTTTTGCTGTTAGACATTACATATATTTTATTTTTAAAAAAAACAACGGCTGTTATCGCATAACCTGCTAAGCTCATTTAATTTGATAAACTACATGGATTTTACTTGTAGGAGTCCATAATATGTACTCATATCTTGCAAAAGAATTGAAGCCTTTGTGATAGGAAATCATATTGTGAAGCAACCTCTCTCAGATCTCCTGAAAGACTATTATGAAAATCCAAGCATTGTAATTAAAAATTGGCAAGGCAACAGTTGAGAAGTTAATGGGTTTGCGTGTATGGGATCGCTGCAAACCAGCAATTAGTTTGATCCCACCAAAAGAAAAAAAGAATCAAGACAGGGAATTTCATGGCTCTCTCTTCAGTGCCAATGAAAATTGCAGGTTTAATTCCTGTTTACTGTACTAAAATCTCATGTCTCTTGCAAATGTTATAAATAAACATGAGAGAGGTCTAAACAGTTACTTTCTTACTGGTTTACACCCCCATGATGGAATTCAGTTTAAAACCAAACAAAACTTTTGAATGTCTTATTGCTATCTCTATGCCCAAAGCTTTTTAAAGGAGAACAGGCCTATTACAAAGGCTTTTATGCAAAGTAATCATGTTAGTTTTTCTTATAGACCGTGCTCACCATCAAGGTGCTCGGCTTTCTCTGCTCTGGGGACGCTTACATCAGCTAACTGTGTCCTTGTCTGTCCGTCCACCAGAGACACAGCAGGACCAGACCTACAAAGATGACAGTGACGCTGCAACTTTCAAGCAAACCCTCCCAGATCTCACCCCCGATGAGCCTTCAGAAGCACTCGGCTTCCCTCCCTCAGGGAAGGAGGAAGGGAGATGTGATGAAGATGTGCCCAAAAGCCAAACGGAATCGCCTGCAGTGGAAAATAAGTCTCAGCCCGCTGAAGAGCCAGTGACACCAACGGCTGAGGAGGGGACAGCAGCTGATGCAGGTAGTGATGAATCCCCAGGGAAGTCCCCGTCAAAAAAGAAAAAGAAGTTTCGCACTCCTTCCTTCCTGAAGAAGAGCAAAAAGAAGAGTGACTCCTAAAGGCCAAACACACTGCAGAAACACTGTCATATTTGAAAATTCATTAACCACTAGAATGTACCAGATCGTACTGAGTGTTTTGTCTTATTACGTAAATGAATGCAGCAAGTAATCCAACCAGCCCCTCAAGTTACGGCTTGATTAAGGTTATAACCAGAAACTAATGTCCAAAAAGGTGCTAATCCTGTGTTTTCAGCAGCTACCACACATCTGATCCCTAATTTGTAATCAAATGTAAACGACTTCCATGTGGGAAGGCACTGAATCGCTATTTCTAATTTAAAGCCCGCACTGCTTTACAAAAGAATGGAAAAAAAAAAAAATCATAATTAAAAACAAACCACAGGTTGCTTACCACGAGAAGCGTTCCTTTCCAATATCCTGTTCCAAGTCACAAGTAAATTTCCTCTTCACTATTGGCTTTCAGAGAGGATGCTTTTGCGGTGGCGATTTCGCGGGGGATGTTTTTGTGAACTGACGTGTAAAGTTCTGCAGCTTGTGATGAGCCATCCCCTCTCAGCCCGGCTTCGCGGCGATCCATCCCTCCCTCCCTCCCCTTCTCCCCGCTGCCCATGGTAACAAAATGAAGGGGTTTCTCACTTTTTGTTTTCTAACTGGCACTTGAATTCGTCTTTGATGTCTAGCACTGGAATAGCTGTGGTGTGTTCTGCTCACGTGGTGCGTTGAAAGAGCCCGATCTTATTTTTCTAGTGAATACAGTTTAAGGGAGATCTGTCCTTCGATCTGAGAATCAGTCCTATGGGAATCTGGCTATTAGAAAAGGTTAAAAAAGTAAGTGTATTGAAAGTTTTTCATAAGTTTTTCAGCTGGTGGTGTGAAGCCTGGGCAGTTGTATTTTGGGCCTTAGCACAGGGTTTTTTCATGCTCTTAAAAATCCCTTGTGTGCACACCCAGACCTGCTGCACAGAAACCCTGTTGGCGGCCTTTTGTGGTTTTTCCTTCCCCTGATAAAAATGTAAATGCGTTACACTGAATATTTAACCTTTTTTATATTAATTATTTTCACTTAACAAAAACTGGCATTTCTTTAATTACTTTTTGTTGTTGTTGCCAGCAGTAAAGTACAGAAATCCCAAGTAACCTTAAAGGTGTATTTTCACAGTTTGCTATAAATGTCTGTTTAATATGTAGCATGGTAAAGAAAATCAACTTTCACCACTGAATTCACTATTCCCCAGTTCCTGCCGTGCTTCTGTCTGTCACTAATGTGTACAAGCAGTTTAAGCTCAGACAGGTAAAGCCCCAGGCAGGAGCAGGACAGGCCCGTGACTGCTTCCGGGCTCTGGTGTCAGCGTTTCTGCTGTTCCAGCAGGAAGCATGGACACCCGGCCTGGGAGACAGGCTGACTCAGGCCCGTGACTGCTTCCGGGCTCTGGTGTCAGCGTTTCTGCTGTTCCAGCAGGAAGCATGGACACCCGGCCTGGGAGACAGTAAGTGTCTGTAACAAACCAGGATACGAAGTCACCTTTTTAGGACAATTATTAAACATTGCAATTGGTAAATTAGCAGAAAACTAATGCCTTACGTTCACGCAGCAGAAAGCAGCAAAGGAGAGGTGGGGCTGAGCGGCTGGAGGCAGCGCTGGGAGGTGCCGGTTCCTGGGGCCGGTCTCAGGCAGAGAAGGGGAAAGAGCTGGAAGGAGAAGGAGAGAGGTGAGGTGTCAGGTGAGGAGAGGGGTTTGCAGGGAGGACCCCATGGCGGGAGGGGGCGGAGGAGTGGGAGAGCAGGAGAGAGGCCCCTCCAGAGCCCCGTTCAGCCAGGACTGCATGGCACCAATGGCTTTCAGCTTCTGCTCTAACCCTCTGTGTCCTCTGTACACTAGGAGCCTACAATACTTATTTTGCTAAATCGTGTTTTATCGCAGGGTCGTAATGAAATGACTAATTGCTCTATGTTTCAGTTCTTTAATGGAGTCCCTCCATTTACCTTGACCACATATGCAATGACTCTTAATTTCTAATTTTGTAGTTTGTTCTTTTAATTCTTTGTATTACGATATGAAATGTAGTCATGTATGGTATGGTTACACACTCTGGGGCGGAATAAAGTCCTGTATTTTTCTTTCTTTCTTGTATCATTAAGTTCTACTCACAAATAAAACTCTTTAAAAAAAAAATCAATCTTCTCCTGCTCCTCTTTCTAAACTTGTACTGTTTTATGTTGAATTTAATTAGCTCCATTTGCTTTTAATGATTAATGTGTTGATTAATGGTTGCTTTAATGTATTCAGAGAGAACACTCACGTTGGCTACCGCGTGGCTCCCTTCCAGCAGGTCCTTCCTCCCCGTGTCCCCAGCCCTGACGGGGTCCCTGCAGGAGGCTTCAGGGCCCAACAGCCGGGTCGGGTTTAGAGGTAAGGAAGGGACTGGCCCAGTGTACAAAGTAACAGTTTATTTGTAATGCAAATAGAACAGTCCTTGGTCATCAAAAAAAACCATCACACAGTATTAGAAATATAAAACATTTCTCCAAAATGTAATTGCCTGTTAAAAACAGCCCCCCTGTGCCGACGCATCAGTTGGGCCTGGGAAGCCTGTTGTTTGCTTCTCGCTTTTGTTTTTGATTGTCGTGTTTTAAGGCGGCTGATCCAGCTCTTACCAGGTCTGCTGAGCGTCTGTGGAGAGCTCCTGATGGGTGTGCAGAAGCTCCCGTGGAGCTGTTCTCTGCTGGCCTGCACCAGAGGCCCTCTTCATGGAGGTGCTGGGTGGTGGCTCTGGTCAGGCGTGTGCTGGTGAGGAAGGCAGAGGAGCAGGGGGGAGCTTGGAGCGCTCATCTGATGATTGTAATGCTTTATTTACCTGTTCTGTGGGTTTTTTCTATTTCCAAACCGGGCCGTGCTGGCTGGGCAGCGCCTTAAACAACTGCTTGTGGTGGGACGTAAGAAACCTGAAGTCTGATGATGCTGCAAATGGTCATCACGAATCCCCTTCTGGAAGATCAAAAGCCTCCTCCCCATGGGGTCAGCAGGGTCAGGTGCCAAGAGTCCAGTCTTGTGGAGGTCCCTCAGGAGCTGGTGACAGCTGGTCACTGCCTACTCCTGCTTCGTCTGCTGCTTTATAGAGCCCAGCAGGAGGAAGGGGAGGAGGAAGAAGGCTCCGCAGGCGGTGAAGCAAACCTCTGCCCCTGCCAGCCAGTAAACTGCAAGGGAACAGGGTGTAGCTGGTTAGTCTGCTCCTCCCCGGCTCTGTGTAAACCAGCCTCAGCGCTGCTGCTCTCCACACCTCACCGGTACCACTGGGGAGCACAACTGCCCCCTCTTTGAGGGCACGGCCTCGCTGGCACACAGGCTATGAGGAGGAGGAGGTAGCTTAGAGCGGCGCCTGTTCTCATCCAAGGAAACAGCATGTGAAAAGCAATTATTTTAAGTAAGATGCTGTCATTCTTGCCAGTAAGGCAATGGGGATGTTCCTATTGACACATTCAGCTTTGGCCACAAGGCAGCTCTAGCTCTTTGCCCCTTGCACTTTCTCCACAGCTGCTCCCAGAGCTGTCTGTGCTGCCCTTGGAGGCCCTGCTCTGCTGGTATCAAGTGTCCTTATGGGAAACACTCAGGAGTGCCCAGGAATCGGATTCTGGCTTTGCTCGGACTTAACATTAGGTCTGAGTTTTGCTGCCCACCTGTTCCCCTTTTTTGGTCCCTTTGCCCCGTAATGTCCTGGGGGCACTGAACCCCCTGCAGAGGGTAACCCCGCTCCTTAGGGACAGCCAGGGCCATGAGGCACCACACATGAACCTCCCTGAGCTCCAGGGCAGTTGTGGAGCGTGGACTCTTTAATCTCATTTATATCTTACAGATGCTTTTAATGCGGAAGAAGTTCTTATTGCAGAAGATGGATTGTCCCTGCTTAAGCAGCATCCCAAGGTAATACAAATTTCTTGAGATGTGGGGAACTGGTTACCACAGCACAGGAGACCTTGATTTCACTGGCTCCTGCTCGCCCAGTGCCAGGGTGGCCCCTCAGCAGGTGGGGCTACTCTTTAAAATGGCCAAATTTATGAAGAGTCAGGCACTACCTGCTCTCTATTTATCTCTGCTTGTAGGAAATTCTAAAGTCTGGGGCCCAGAGCGACGCTGTGGCTGGCAAAGGTGGAAGGGAGCAGGAGGTTGCACTCACCCGTAGCCGAGAGGATGGGTCCCAGGGCTCTGGCGAGGGCGCCCAGGCTCCTCAGGATGCCCATGACACGTCCCTTCTGGCCGGCAGAGCCTGTGCAGGGAGAGAGCTGTCACTGGTGGGGAGGGGAGACAGCACCAGGCAGGGCCCTGCGGTCCTGCTTGGAGCCTTGGTCTTTTGGAGGTACTTCCCACAGGCATCTCCCCCTCCTTCCCTTGCACACCCGCTGCCCAAGCTGCCTTTAGTTCCTTTCCACCAAGATAAACATGGCCACTGCACTGAGAAAACACTGGGCTTGTCAAGAGCGCTTGTCCGTGGACAGCTTGTAGTGCACTCTCCCCACCCATTACCACTCTGTATCACTAGAGCTGAGGTCAGTTCTGTGTTTCAGCCAAGTCTAAGCAAAGGTCCGTTACGTGGCCAGAGGCTACCCCTTTAGTCAGGACAGACACTCACCGTAGCCCGACACCACTGCTGACAAACACGGGATAACAATGGCTGCCGCTGCAAAAATCCAAAGAGAGACTGTCAGTGAACAGCAGAGAGATCAAAACTGTTACAAGAGCACAGTGAAAAAAAAACCCCACGTGGCCCAAAGTCGTTGCTGCAGCAGAGAAAGGCGCTGAGCTCTGGGGCACTGCGCCAACAATGAATCATCAGGTTTAATCCAGTTCCATAATGAAAACACCCCCTCAAAGTCAACCTGCGGGAAGAGCCAGTGCTCCCAGCAGATGTTTCCCATCAGTGTCTCGTTCTGCGAGCCCAGGGGAAGGGGCGGGAGGTCAGCTCAGCTAAAGGCTCCTTTTCCACATCCCCGCGCTCTTGTCAGGTGGAGCAGGGAAAGGGACCCGTTCGTATTTCAAGCGGGCGACGAGGTGGCTGCGCGCTGACTCACGCTGTCCCCAAGCTGTCCCCTACTCATGGGTGAAAGAAGCAGCTACGTCCTGTCTTGGGAAATAAGAGAGTCAAGTCCAAAAAGAAGAGGTTCCAAAATTTACGGACACAAAAGCCAAGAGCTGCTCAGCAATCGCTGTCTTCTTACTGAAACAGGGGCCTTTCCTGCCAAGAGGGACGTGCTTTAAGCGAACAAAGCAGAACCTTTTCTGGGAAGGAGAGGACAACTGGAGAGCGGGAACAACAGACATGTTGCCTTAACTGCAGGCGCCCTAACTCCTGGGGCAGAGGGAGGAAGAGAGGGGGAAGAGCGACCCCTCCAGAGGCATTTCTAGCTGGCTTAACTGGGGAAGAGATGGGGCCTTCTGCCCAGCCATGGAGCCTAAGACAACGAGGCTCCTGACTTAGAAGCCCAGTGAGACAAAACGAATACCTACTGTCACCCCTCCTCCGCCAGCCAGCAGGCTTTCAAAACCAAGTTAATCTGGAGATAAAATGTCAATTTTTGAAACCTGTCAAACACACAGCTGTCCCTAGACAAGCAAGCTACTAAATAGATGCTTTTTGTGGTTTACAGTTAACTCTTAAAGCAAGCTGCATCATGCAAAAAAGAAGTCTTCTACTTTTGTAATTAGTCAGAGTTGAAGCTTCTTAACAATAGTTAGCAGCACTGGGAATATTGGAAATCTCTTTTCAGATATGCACACCAGTAGATCAATCCAACTTCACTCATAATTGTTTCCCTGAATAATAGCTTAAACTGGCAGAATATTATTTATGTACACAAACATCTTTGAAAACCATCTGCACGTATCAAAAGGGGAGTCCTGCTCCCTCCCTGAGCAGCAGCTTGCAATGCAAGAGAGGAGAGGGTTCTCCAGGCAGCACAGCCCCGTGCCCAGCGTTCAGGACAACACTCATTTACCCTCGCTCTGGCTCAGCCTGAACACACACCCGGCCTCCAGCTCCACAGCACACAGGTCTCCTCAGCCTGCTGCCCAAGGAATAGTGCAGCCACCACAGGAATACAAAGACATGCTGTCTCCCTTCTTTCCCTCAGCTGAGCTATTCGGTGAATATTTTGCTTCTAGGTCTGATAAAATGGGGGAAAAAATCTCACCCTCAAGAGCTCCCCAGTAACAGGACAACAGGAGCACTGGAGATGCTTCCAAATATCACCATGGCAACTTGCTGTGATACGCAGTGTCAGAAAAAAAAACCCAGACGCTATTTCTTCCATAATTTATAAACAGAAACGTCAACTTTCTGTTACTTATAGTTTGAAATGAGAAGTGCATCTTTTTTAACGGGGTGAACAGACATATGAAGAAGAATTATTTGTGCATAGCTTTCAGTGCATTGTGGGTAACTCACCGAAAGAGTACAGCAGCAGTCCGACGCTCAGCATGGTCACATTTGCAGCCCATCCAATTAACAAGAAAGCTGGAATCAGCACCATAATAGCCTGCAAAATGAATGAGTCACACGGTTACATTTAAGCTCTGCTTGTTAAAGCCTAATTGCAGGTGCCCTGCCAGCTCCTTTCCGCCAATGGGACTACATTTAAGTCAGGAGCAGAAAGCCCTTTCTTCCCAAGCAGATATTGCAAATTCACCTGGGCGGCCTCACATCCACACAATTTACCTTTCTGTTCTCTCTCACTATCGCCCAATTGCTGACCACACACAGGCCGGGCTCACCTGTAACACAGGCTGGAGTGACCCCACCACCGATTTCCCACAACTGAGAAAATGATGACTTTTGCAGAGCTCTCTCACACACAATCTACTGGTTTTTTGGCAATTTCTTCTCTTGGTCTGTGTTGAACTGGACAGAAATCTAGCTTTAACACTTTATCTCCTGAGCTGGCATAAGACATCAAAAAGCTTGTCTGCAACGGCAGTACAGCTCCTCTGCTTTTTTTTGGCAGTATTGACTGATTTTATCTTTAGCTTGTAGAGTCCATACCTCTGGAGCCAAGAAGAAAAAAGGCAGGGGGTAAGGGGATGGTGATGGCATTTGAAATTCAAACCCAAAGAGAAAAAACATTTTTCATCTCCTCCAAGAGCCTGGACTTCAGTTCCCCTGTGATGTCCCCTCCCTCACAGGAAAAGACAGGTCAGTTAAGATCTGCTGCATGTTTCATAAAAGAGGGTGTTTGCTCCCACCAAATGCCTCAATTTGAAGACTGAGTTATAAATGAGCTACTGTAATCACTGCAGGAAGAGAGGCCACATTTGCCATAGGATCCAGATTCACAAACAAATTGCCAGAGTAACTTCAGCAAAAGGGGCAACTCCCACAAAAGCCACTCAAGCCCCCTACACCCACAGAAAGGGCGCCCCGGGGCCAGCGGGTCTCTGCACCGTGCAGATGGGTGTTTATGAGAAGGGATCAGCCCAGACCAACTAAACTGGGTGAGTATTTGGGGGGACCTACACTGCGCAGTGCAGGGGAGCAGAAAGAGTGTAAAAAATTAGTGGGGCAAACCAGAGTTTGCATAAACTGCAGTGCAGTGACAGCACACACGGCAGGCTGGCAGAGCACACGGAGGAAGCTGATGCAGAGGATAAAGCAGCACTAACACAGCAGCTGGAGTTTCCATGCCCAGGGAAGTGCTTCCTATGTGACACCACAAACGTGCCATTAACTTCTGCCTGCCAGGGAGCAGGGTGGAGATGACTTCATGAGCAGAAAGAACTTTAAGAAAAGCTGAGTCAATTCACTGGAAAGCAGTGCAGTTTGGTAATCCTTTTTACCCTGCCACCACTGAAACCACGCTGGCCTCAAAATAATGTATAATAAATTGATGGAGGCTCAAATAGTCCAAGTACACCTACTACCAAGCAGCCAATAAAAGTTCAGAAACACCCAAAACCTGCTTTGTTTAGTTCCACACACAAATGTAAAGGATGAGACGTATCTACTTGTCCCTCAGCTGTATGAGCTGCTGGGAACTATTCCCCATCATCCCAGTATGGCAGCAGCAGCATCTCTATGAAATAAAACGCAAGCAAAACAAAGAAACACACACTTTCATCAGTGAAACTTCTGTCTGATCATTGGCACATGTTACACGGATGATGTTACTGATGATCACAAGTCCAAGGTTGGAGGAAGAACCTATTTCCCCCTGCCCATCAGTGAAATATACTCTATGGAAAGCCTGTCAAACGTGGAGAGGGCCAGAGTGATGATGTCCCTGAAAATCATTTGCCAGAAAATCAGAGATCAGCTCTGAAGCAGATTTAATAGTTTCAACATCTACACTGCAAGAAAAATGACTGAAACAAAGCATAATCTTCAAGCATTTCACCCAGCTTGCTCAGACAGAAGCTCTGTTCTCATTCCCTAATGCAGTTATATATGAAGAACTCAAAGTTTCAATAATATGGTAGCTGATATAGTAAGAAATGGCTCTAATGTTCCAAAGTTTAGTTGGACTGACAAGTGCCCAACAACCAGGGTCTTGAGAAGTCATTTAGCTGGATTAATGAGACAGAAATGTCTTTTGATTTGACAAGTACAGTTATAGCCTCCAACTGCTTTTCATTACACTTTAGGTTGAAAACTAACATATCAGAACTGCGGGGGGAAAAGAAAAAAAAAAATATCTATTTTTTTTACCCTTTTTACAGCTCTGATTTCATTTCCTGGCTTGATTCGGCGAGCATAGCCTCCCTGGATCACAGCCATTGTTATTCCAATAAAGAAAAACATCTTGCCCTGCTGCATGCTAGAAGGGAGGCAAAAACACAGATTATGGAGTCACGCACAGAACATTCCACCCTGGGATTCACAGGTTCAGTGCAGACCCTCTCCTGAACCAGAGAGAGAAAATGCTTTTTTGGTGCTCACGTGAGCAGTGCAAAGTGCTGAACATGCTGCCATCAGTCTCCATGGCAGGCAGACAGCAAGAAGACAAACCTCTGAGGTCTTATGCAGAGATGGGTCGGCTGCTGGGAAATGCTGCCATCATCTCCCGCTGTGGCATCTGCCAGCACCAAATGAATTGATCTCTGCAACCACCACCATTGCTGTGATGCAGCTCAGTTGTTTCCAGGGTGGCCCACAAAGAGTCAACACGTTAATCACCCTGTGCCACTGAAGTGTGTGCCGTAGGCACAGGAGTTGCTGGTTTCCAAGGAACAAGCATTTTGCTTTCTCACAACCATTGCCACCACTCATGCAGAGTTGGATCAAGGTCACCAAGGCACAACATGGGCACCAGCATGGTGGTGCTCACATCTTCCACCAGGAACCTCAGAACATCGCTCCCTCCACCCTTAAGTATTTCTTAAAATCTCCCTTTCACCTCGCTTATCTACTGAACTGTTTGGGTATTGTCAGCTGAATGTTCCCACCTCCCTAACAGGGTTGTTTGTCACAGCCTGTGCTGTCACCATAAAGCTGTGTATCATCTCAGTGCGTGGCTACCCCAAAGGACTGTGCAGAAGCTCAACATGCTAGAAAACCTCTCCTTTGACGCACACGCATTAGTTAAGCCACAAACTATAATGAGAGATAGACAGGGAAAGATGAGACAAACCCCTGAGAATTACTCAAAGGGAGGGACACACATAAGGAATCAAGCTGCAAGATCACGTTCCTGGCTGGAAATCTTTCTATGAGCTGGCAGGAAAAGTATTTCAAGCTGAGCCGCTGTTAGTGGATTCTGTTCTCTTTCTTCTCTAGTGTTTGACTAAAGAAAATCAAACTTTCTGATGTAATGACTGTACACTGTATGCAACGCAGAACTCTGATGAGCAAATATAATCACACAGCTATCCCTCCATCCTTTCCCTTTTTTGATCTTTTTTTGAGATTTGTCCTGACACAGAAGAACTCTTCTGGGCTAGAAGAGAAGAGGTTTTATTATAATCAATACAACTAGCCCAGCTTTACATATTTCAGGAGCTTTAATTTAGTGTATTGATTTTTCTCTAGTTATTAGAAGTTGCAGATTCATCGGGTATTTCCTTTCACAATAAATAGTGTGTCTGTATTTTCATAAATTCTTCCCACAAAGCCCAAGTATCACTGAATGCAGAGGTTGCTTTCTGAGTGCTTTTACTAACCTCATAAAGCCTATCTTGAAAATAAATGCAGAGACCTTAAATCAAGACTTTGGAAAATATCCCAGACAAAATATACAACATTTATCTTTTACCTGCTGAACTGGAATCTCTGGTGAGTGAGAAAACTCAATGTATACTCCAGGCCAGAAAACAGGAAGAGGTACAGGAAATAAGCCAGGCCCAAGGTTTTGAGATTCTGAAGATCTAAACAAACAAAAAACAAACAAATAAACACCGGGGAAAAAAAAAAAGAGAAATACGGTGGTGTTTTTCAAGCATAGCTTGAGAATATAATAACAATAGTAGAACAACATTTATCAACCATACAGGGAAAAGTTGTCACCTCAGATGCTCATTTTAAATATCCAGACAAAACATGCCACAAAATGTCTTCTGCCCCCCACCTCCCTTCTTATGAGGGGACAACAGACAAAAAGACCAATCTCACTCTGGGTCACCATGGTCTGTCTGACCCAATCCAGCCTCTCTGCCTCACAGCCCCACCTAAAAGAGATTGATTTATTTATTTTCTTATTCATTTTAATCAATACCTGCATTACACCTAATACCTTGACACCGCTGCAGGATGATATTGGCTGAAACCCCTTCTTCTAAGCTCCAAGTGGTCTGTGACAGATTACGTTACTTGTTTTTCTGCCAATGCAAGGTTTAAAAGGTTTTCTCTGAAGTGGCAAATACTACTCTGTTCCTGAGGCAGCAGTAAGGGGGGCTGAATGATAAATTGCTGTACCTGGAAAACACTGATGTACTTTCTATGGCTTAAATAATTTCACGTAGAGAATTGGCCAGCTCAAATCTTACATCTGCAAGTCCTGAACTGAGAAATAAAATTCCAGTCTGGAGTTTCCTGGTTTGCAGCTTGGATAAGTAAACTCCCATCTCCCTTACTTGTAACCTTGATCTATCTTTTTAAATCACTCCACTTTCTGCAGCCTACCCCATGCTGCAGACAGTGCCTGAGGAAAAAGCGAGTCAGAAATCTTCAAAATGCTTATGTCAAAAACCTTCTTCATCCAAGGGAACTTTTAATTTGTAAGTTCATAAGTTAGTAAGGTGGGTTTTAAATGAGTGAACTCTGCTTCTGAAATGGTTTGAGTAGAGTTTTCACTTGGAAACCACCGCCACATAGAAAAAGATGTACAATATTAATATAAAAAGGCAGCTAACACTTACTCTCCTCTGAAGGGGATTCCTTTCCTCGGGTGACTGCAGAGAACTGAAATAAAGCCAAAGGACTGAGCAAGTCAACCGCTGCCTGAAATCCAGACGTCACAGATGAGACCTGATCAGAGAAAGAGAGAGGTTTATTTAAAAAACAGATATAGTATCTACTGCAAAGAACTGACAGTAACCGTCAAATGTGCTTCTGCACCTACACAAATTATCTGAGATGAAACAAGGCAACTGGCAGAGTGACCCCTTAGGACACGCCAGGACTTTCTCAAGCACAGAACAGGCTCCAGCACTGTAACTAGGAGGCAGAGCACTGATAGCAGCTTTCACTAGAGACAGAAAGCACATTCTTCCCTGGGTTCTTTTAAAAAGCAGAAGCAGCTCATTCTCCACAGCCTTGAAGGTGGCTTTACTTGGTTTAATTTTTGCATCGTCCCTCATGTCCAATGAATATTTACTGAGAAAATAACGTCACATCTGCCTGCAAGTTCATGGGAAGCTGGGGAATTGCTTGTGTGCTACAGGTCTGAGAAGAGTACGTGTAGCACATCAAACAACGCTCCATTTTGTTACTGGTTGTTCTTTTAGCCAGCCAGTGACACCTCCTGGGGAAGAAAAGGAAAAAATAACTTTTAGAGACATTCCTTGGAGAGGTTTTAAGAGAGATTTCTAGAGACAATCCGCCCAGCCACACTGCATGGCTTTTTGAAGAGGGAAATTAATTTTGTAGCAATTCTGGTCCTTGTACTCTGTACATCTCAACCTAATTATGCATCTAATGGTACTCTCCCTGCTCGTTATCAATAAGAGTTTAGCAGATGCTTATTCTTTCATCTGTAGGGAATTTAATTTTTTAATTTGTTTCTTTTTTTATTCTAAGGTATAGAAAATTAAAGAAAATTCTAATGTCTAAATTCTTAAGGAAACAATTCCTTTTAAAGTAGGAGAATTTAGACTGTCACTTTACATGACAGTCACAGGAAAAGATAAGACGGACTCAAGAATCCTGAATAATCACACTTAGTATTTCATATCTTCAAAGCCCTTCACAGACTTTATCTGATTAACTTCTTTCTCTTCCCGGACAAGGAGGGAGGGAGCTATTACCCCCTTGAGGGCAGGGATTAAAGGTCAAATTATCAGTGGAACTTAATCTCAGTGCGTGACCTGAGGACTCCTATGGACTGGATTTAATAAAGCTGTAAACCAATCAACCTTCAATACGGTATTAACACAACCCCTGTCTTGTTTTGATAGTCAGAGCTTCTGAGTGTCCGACAGCAGAGCCCTGGAGCCCTTAAGTCTCACAACTGCAACCAGCCCAATATACCTGGCTGGTTTTATATAAAGCCATAAACTGCTGATCCACATAGAACAAACTGATTTACTTCCCCTTCCACTGCTTCTATTGCAGAGAGCAAACAGACACTCCCAAGAAGTTTCCTCACGGTTTTAAAAGGTCTGTAAGAGGATTTCCTGAAGCTGGCTTGTAGCAATCCTCAGTTCCTGCATGATGGTATTTGTCCTACAGCACAGAGAAGCTGGTACCAAGCAACTCTCTTCAAGCATGTTTGCCAGTAATAAAAAAACCTGTAGTTTGTACCTGGTTTGAATTATTATCCATGTCAGACAGGGTGCCAAGCTGCTTTGTATTACCAAGACTGATTTTAGCTTGGTCCTGAGGATACACATTATATATGTATAGGTTTAAAATCTTACGTGTTTTATGTAATGTATAAATGCATTAGATATTTTTTTTTTAATATAGGTTTGTGTGTGCATGTAAATTTCTTTTAGTTTCTCCTACCTCTGCCCTAGCAGCAGTGGTCTAGAAGCTACTTCATCCACTGATCGATAATAAAAACATTGTGCTCAAGCTGTCAAAAGTGCTTCACCACCCCAAGCAACCAAGCATACACTGCCAATTTCAGTCAATGTCACCTGCTTCATGGAGTTTAGATTCTTCGCAGGTTCAAAATCTGAAACATCTAATGTGTATTTAATTTCTATGGTTATGATTAATTACTCCAAAATTGCTCAATTTTACTTCGTGATCACCCCCAAATGTCACCTTGAACGGTAGCCATTTTTCCCAGTGTCTTTGTTTACTCTGTTTTCCTGCAGAAAGACTAAGTAACGTGTCTTGAAGGCACAGAGTCAGCCCAAATCAGGAATGCAGCCTGGGCCATCCGAGCTCCAGCCGTACCCTTCAAATCAGACACTGTTTAGCACGCATAGAGCAAAAGCCTTGTTTTTCCATAAGTCTGCTAGTGATGCTGCACACCCCTATACATAGTCCTTACATGATTAGCTGGACACCAGAAAAAAAAATAAATATTGTAAGAGCCTCCCTCCAGCCAGGCAGCCTTGCCCATCACTAGGTTAGCTAAAAATTAACTCAGAAGCTCTTAAAGGGGACAGATACCACGAGAAACCTTTCTATTCCTCCCTTCTCCCAAGCAGGTCACAGCAGGAGCTGTTCTGGCCACCTCACCAGTGTCTCTGACAAGTCAAAGTTCTCTGATCACTCTTGACCTGATAAACTTGTGGAACGCTTGAAAAAAAGAGAGAAAAGGATAGCAAAAAATCTGTTTGGATGAAAACTCATCCTTGTTCCCTCTGTCCCCCTCCGCCTTCTCCTTTCTACAAGTTAATTCCAACATGAATTAAAGTGAAAAACACTCTCCTGTGAAAATGAGGACTGACAGAGAAACAAGAACATTGTGAGAACACGGCTTGTTTCAAGGAAACAGATGTCTGATGCCACTGCCACATCCTCCTACCGGTGACCATTATCATTTCCCTTCTTTTTACAGCTTTGTCCTTCCAATGCATCCACTCTGCTCCAGGAGCACCTGCTCCAGCTCAGCCCAGCCAAGTTCCAAAAAGGCAGCCAACATACCTGCCTTTCCTCCGTCATCCACCCGCCAAGAAAACTGCTCTGCTCCCACTCAGAAAGGGGGAGGAATTGTCCAACAAGAAGAGCAAAGCAGCCTAATAAGTGAAATTACAAATACCCTAGAACACATAAATCACATGAGGCCACTGCCCAGATGCAGGATGAACGGAGACAGCCCAAAAGCACCAACACTGGTACAGACGACAAGAATCTCCAATGCCAGAAAAACTGTTCTCTCATCAGCAACCAAATACCCTGTGTGTTTTGCCTGACTGGGACCTGACCCCGAGAGGCACTTATTAATCCATCTCACGAAACACCCATTGCTGCACAGAGATCCAAAAAGCAGGGACAGAGCACTCATTTTCTTATCAGAATCCAGTCACGCTGGCTCACACAGACTAGCTTACCAGAAGAACCCTCAAGAGGATAATAAAAGGGGGAGGGAGGTATGCAGTCCTAAAAGGCCCTGAAGCCATTTATCCCTCTACAGCAAAGGTGGAATTGTTTATAGAACACAGATTCGCTCTACAGCACTTCCCTACGTCAACATGTCGCCACCACCCAAGTGTGCAGCTCCAACCAAGAACAGGATCTTATCCGGAATGTTTAGAAACAGCCAAATAGGAAAGGGGAACAGATGACACATGGAAGAGTTGTTAAAATAAAAAAAAAAATAAAATAGAAAAATAGCTGTAGTGCTTGGGAAGATAACATGAGCTACCAATTTCACGTGAGGCACAATCTACTGGGAAACACCCAGAGCAAGTCTAAAATTTTGTCCCGGCAGCAGCACTGCAGACAAAAGCTTCCTGGAACAATTCTCAGCGTCAAATGATTTTGGCTTTCCAGAACCCAAGCACGCTTCAACGGCTGAGTGCTGCTCAGAAAACAGCTTGGAAACAAGGGACAACAGGAAGGATCCAACCCAGCTGAAAGCCTCAAGTCGAGTGCTTCACCCAGATACCTGGGGCTGAGTTCAGTCTCTTCCACACTACCAAAGGAGACTGCTCCAAAGGAGGCTTTTTATAGGTATATCTTGGACTGTGTCTGGTCACATAATATTAAATCATAATGTTAATAAATGTTTTGCCGCACAAATCCAAACAGTCACTGAATTTCAGCACATGTAGACATTTTGTTATCTGTGGGAGATGGCACAGCTCAGAGGTAAGAATCATTTGTTACTGGAGTGTTCAAAAGAATCAAGCAAAGACAAGATAACAGTTAAGAAAATTTCTAACATATACTGGCTAAATGAAAGAAATTCCATTCTCTGATGCAATTACATTTATGATTAGCTGAAATTTATCCCCAGGGAGTCATTGTTATCATAGTTTAAAATTCATCCTCTTCTACCTAGGCTCCCATTAGTTTTTGAGAAATTTAAACCTAACACACCAAAACCAGCAACTAAGCAGACACGTCAGCTAGAAAGAATTTCTCATATTACACTGGGCTGGCAGACAGGACCATCACGCAACAAATTTGACACCAGCCTGAATAATAATATTAAGTCCTAGTCCCAGGAATGAGCTAAATTCCTGAGATCCTGGCTCAGCCCCTTCTTCATTTTTTCCAGTATTTCAACAATTCTCAAATTCTGTTTTTGGAAGAAACATAGATCTTCAGATGGATAATCCATTTACCCGTTTTTCTTTGGGAAGCGTCTCCGGAAGTAGGAAGAAGATGAAAATTAAATCAGCCACAGCAAACGTGAGCGCTAACAACGCTGAGCGACGATAGAAGACTTCTCCTTTCTCTGTCTCCATGGCCAGGTAAGCTCCAATCATGGGACCAAGGGTAAAACCAAGGGAGAAGGCAACACCAATCATCGCCTGCAGCAACACAATGAACACAGATGTGAAGTTTTAGACGCCAGTTTGTTCAGGTAGCTCGGTTCTAAACCAGTTTGGATTTCCCAGCATTTAACTTAAAGAAATGCAACCAGATACAGAATGTAACCTCCCCCTGAGGATGTAGGAAGTGCACAGCAATGAGCGTTAAGTGTGAAAAAACTGTTGTTTCCAAATAACCAATTTTATTTTCTGCCTAGTCAGGAAAGTAGCAGGAACATACTGCAACTTGGTTATGAGTGAAAGGAAGCTGGGAACAGAAATAACGATTCCCACCTCAGGGACTGCTCAGGGAGCAGATCCTTCAGCCACAGGATAAACCTTTGTAGTGTAAAACTGGAGAAGGGAGGACAGCACCATGGGAGGAATTCATAATGATGTCTACAGCTTCTAAAATACTTTGGCAATTTCTGTATTAAGGAATTTATGTCTCATAGACCAAATATCCTGAGAGACTTTCCAGAACAACCTGAATTTAGCATAGGTACTAAAAAGAATTTATTAACTCGCTGTGAAACCAGCACATAAGAAGAGGTAGAATCTGTACACACTGGATGGGATCTTAAAAGAAGACTGATTTGAGTCATCAGCCTCAGTGAGATTGCTTAAGAATACAACAGTGCAGAACATGCCTCATTTTATTTTATTTAAGTGACACTCAAAGGTGTCACGTATGCAGGACACGATCCTCCTGCTTTCCAGAGTCTATACCTATTCATAGTGTATATATATTTATCTATAGTACTACACTAAACAAGATCAGGTGTCACCTCACAGTCTCAAGTGTTATCAGCCTGCCCAACTCTCCCAGGCAATGCCCCATCACAACTTGGTGAGCTGGAGAATAACATCAGTCAGATGCTATTCTCTTCCCAGAAAGCAGCTGAACATGCCTACTCTGCTCTGAAAAAGAAGGTTTAGCCATATGGATGCAAACCATGCTGTACTAAGTGACTTGCTCTCAAGCCCTAAAAATAGGCCCTGACCCATTTTATTGACTAGTGCTGTACAGCTATCCCTCTCCATAAATAAAAATATACTTTGGCTCACCAGGACTACAATAAATTGCCTGGAAAATTCATTAGCTATTACTGTGAAATCTAAAGCTTCCCCCTCCCATGAAGCAGCTGTCCCACATAGTGGCTTGTAACAATCTGTTAATAGAATTTTGGGCCCGTAAGGTTTTTATAAGAGAAAAGATTTAACTGGTAATTCACAGGCAAAGTTCAGCCTGCAGGGTGTTTCCATCTGGTTCACTGCCTTCTGGAAGAGGACAGGGCAGCTGTTCATACTACTTGCTGCTCAGTCAGCCAAATGCCACATCCCTTACCCGCTGAGCTCAGGCCCTGAAGCCAGTGAAGCATCCAAGGCAGTCAGGAGGCACGCTGTGCTGCACAGTGCTGCTGCGCTTCCACAGTTTGGGAAGGTGAGAAAAATGGGGTGTCCTGTAACTGGGTTCCAGCTACAAAAATGAGGCCATAAGGCCTTTTGATTTCTAAGCTATTGTAATGAGGATTACAGTTATCAGCAACAGTAACAGTTAAAACACTTACACAAGTATTTTTTCTACCTCTAGGGCAGGTAGGTAAGTCATTGACAGGTAAAGTCTGAGCGCTCACCAGCAAAACTATCTGGCATCTTTTCAGAAGTGAAGTAGGATATAAAGTCATGTTTTCACTTGGTCAATGAATACACACCTGAGGAAGACATTCTGAGCACCTGAAATCAATTAAAAATTACCCAGCAAACCCAAAGAGATACTCCACACATGCAACTCACCATGCCCTTGCTCCGTGCCTTTGGAGAGTTCAAGTCAGCGATGACAGCTGTGGAGAGGCTGACATTCCCTTTGCTTATTCCACCTACAATCCTGGAGAGAAGAAAAACGCCGAAAGTCCTCGAGGCAGCCCACAGCGCATACGACGTTATCAAACCCATCTGCAGAAGCAAGAAAGGATTCTTTACAAAGCAGAGAAAAGTTGATCTTATTTCTGCATGTTTCCCAGCTAAATATTTGATTCTTTTTGGAGGGTGTTTTTGTGGGTTTTGCTTTCTGGTAACCACGTAACAAATATCTGACTATACTGATACTGCACTATGTCCTGGACAAATGATATAAAACAAGTAGAAACAAATGCATAAAAGCTGCATATAAATTGTGAGATTACTAACAAAATTAGAAGAGTAAGAGAAGTTCAAAGGGTGCTAAATCAGTTCCGGGCACAAAATCACTTTTGTACATCCTACTCCAATTATTTTCAACTTCAAGAGAATTCTGAGTTCCAAATAAGAAGAATTCACAGTTCTAGCCCTTAGATTTCATAATCAATTATAAGCACATGTGCTTATTTAATTCAGTCTCCACAAGCCTACAGGGTAGAGAGATCTGTATTATCACTTGCTGCCAAGTTCCACCATGTACGTACACACTTGCTCTGCACTGTTTCTGTAATTAGAACCCCATACTCCAACCAGCAACAGGGAAAACTTTTTAGAGAATGCTCACGTTCCCAAGAAACACACCTTACACTGCTGTGCAGCACCTCCTAATCAATAATCCCCAGGCTCCGTGAAGCAGATCATGAAGTGATCAGCCCTCATTAGTCACTTGGGGAACTAAAATACACAGAGATTAAGGCTAAGATTTGTAAGCAGAGCATCTGAAGTCACACACAGGGACTCGTATGTAACTCCCGTACACAGGGAAAGGGATTTCAGAAAATCCCAGCAACAGATAGGTATTTTGGTGCCTCCCATGTACAGTTTTGGATCTAGGAGGCTCCGCTTAATTACTTGCATTTGGAAATGTGGTCAAGTGACTTGGCAAGAAGCTGCCAACAATCATCAGACCTAGAACATTCAATTTCCCAATTCTTTCTGCTTAACCACAAGACCATCGTGCCTTCAACTGTATACTGAGACAGCATGACTAAAATCAGCATGAGACCCATACCACTGTCAGCAAGATGACAGGTCTTCTGCCCAAGCAGTCTGACACAGCTCCGGTGAGGGGAGAGGAGAAAAACTGTAGAATGGAAAAGATTGAGCCAATCAGACCTAAAAAAAATAAAATAAAAATAAAGAAATCATTAGACTTGCTGCCTTCATCTTAAATACAAAGACAGCCAACCTGTTCCAGACCTATCACTCCCTCACCTCCTTTAAAAGTATGCAATTAGATGTAAAACAACAACTAGAAAGAACAGCTTTGTCTCTGAAACTGTTACCCTCAAAACACCAATCTTGCGTTGTTATTTAACTGTGGTGGCAAATTCAGACAGACCAGAATAGCAGGCATAAACTGGATGATTCACTGGTTACTTCTCTGGTGAGAAGGGGTTTGAAAACCATCGGTTATACTGGAATGCTGATTCTTCAATGTTTCCCCAACTGACTACTTAACTTCTGTTCTTAAAGCAGAGATAAAGGAGCTTTAATAGACACAGTTCTTTTAAGATTTTTTTTTTGATGGTTTGAACCTGATTCTGTCACACTTAATTAGCTTTTCTTTCCTTCTTATCATAGAAAGAAGGACATAAGCACTGCTGTTAGTGAAGCACCCTAAGAGGTAGGAGTGATTCCAACAGACTCCAAGAGCCTTTTGAAATCTGCCTCCAGCTTCTGTGATCTTTAATTCCTCTTTTCTCTTGCCATTTCTAGCTTCACACACTTATTAATTTGCACTACACTCTCAACAAACAGGCAAAAAAAATGCCTTGCTGTCACAGTTCTTCTCTAAAGGAAAAACTGGGTTATACATCTCAGATCATTCAGCTATCAAAGCTTTAAAAAGCAGAGGACAGACAGACCAGGAGTTCTGCTCCCATCAGTTCTGAGGGAGGCAGAATACTGATACACCCCGGGGGGAACCGCTGCTTAGGATGGCTCAAAAAACCAAAAATACTGTTTAAAAAATCACAGAATCATAGAATATTTTGGGTTGGAAGTGACCTTTAAAGGTCACCTAGTACAACCCTTCTGCAATGACCAGGGACATCTTCAACTACATCAGGTTGGTCAGAGCCCCATCCAAACTGACCTTGAAAGTTTCCAGGGATGGGGCATCTACCATCTCTCTAGACACCCACCAGTGTTTCACCACCCTCACTGTAAAAAATGTCTTCCTTATCTCCAGTCTGAATCTACCCTCCTTTATTTTAAAACCATTACCCCTCGTGCTTTCGCTTCAGGCCCTACTAAAAAGCCTGTCCCCATCTTTCCTGTAGGCTCCCTTTTAGCACTGCAAAAACACCCAAACCTGCCAAGCAAGGATCATACATTAGGTCCATCCAGGGAGTCCACTAAGGACCAACAAGAGACAGAGTCAGAGAAAGTAGTGGAAACAAGAATCCGACGTAGGTCCGTTCAGGAGATAAGACACTTGCAATGTATGTCCAAGGTCCATCCAAGAGACAGGGACAGAGACAGCCCTACAGACAAGACTACACCTACAGCACAGCTCAGGCAAGGCCCAGGCCTGAGCTGAAATACAGCTCCTGAATCACCGGGCAGAAATCACGTGGGTGAAGGCCTGGTCACCACAACCAAATATTGGTGCCCTCAGGGCCTTGGCAAAGGCAGGGGAGGTTTCTGCCCTGGAGAGGCTGCAGTTTAAGCAAAGATGAAAGAGAGCAGAATATATCCTGCACTGGGAGAAGCAACAAGTATCTTTCCTTGCAAGTATCTTTCCAATCCTATGCTCCCTGCTGCAGATTAAGGCAATGAAGGAACGCAGACTGCAGCGGCCTCTGCTTAACATCGCAAATATTAATGAACCTTTCCACCATTACCATTTAAGGTGCAATCAGACAAGACGGGCTGCGACAAGAGCTGAATACAACTAAGCTGGCTTGTCCATCTTCACCTGCTTCTGTAGCCTTGGTCAACTTTCCAGTGAGCTAATTCAACTCAGACTGGCAGAAAACTAATACAGAAAAAAAAGGGGGAAAAAAACCAACTTTTCTGCTGGTTTAGCAAATTAAATGGCACATTAAGAAGAGCTGTCATTAAAAACAGCAGAAGAGATGGAGTCAAACATGACAGATACTAGGTTAATTCAGCCACCTTGTCTGCATCCTCACTGCCCATGGCTGCTAGGTAATTCGTGAACATTCCCATCACTACTCAATACTGTTTCTAAATACTTTTCTCTCAATATTTTTCTCCCAGAGAGAAAACTGAGAGGGATACCAGCTTCCTTTCTGAGGCAACCAGCACCTATTTTATTTGCATGTTCCCAGTTAGAGGCTGCATTTTCTTCAAAGGGCAAAAGAGTCAGTTGGACTCCTCTGGAAGAAGGGAGATTTAACCCTCCCCTTGAAAGCAAGTGAGCCAAGTCAAGGGATACAGCACTCCCAGGAGTACAGGATGTAGCAGGTAAAAGGAACGGCAACAAGTTGCACACAACTCTGAGCTCCCAGCCCCTTGTTTAAAGAGTCTGAAATAGAAGGAGCAAGGAGACGGCACACAGTCAGGCCTCACAGGAGATGGCATGCAGTTTCTGAGGAATTAAAGAAAACTGTTTCCTACCATTCAAAGTAGGTAATCTGACTGATAATGAGCACAGAAACAAGAACATGCCTGCAAGGATACTGTAGGAAAGAGGAAAATTGTTTCCAAAGTTTCTAATGTCTATTAAACCCCTAAAACTTAATAAATAAATACTTGTATTCTAATGAAGTTTGGCTGTTTTGTTGGTTGGGTTTTTTTTTCAGTTTAAAAGCCTTTTCTTTATCTTGGGAGAGGCCCCAAGTGAGTAAAAGAAGGTCTAGACGTTTCCAATTAAATTTAACCCAGACACCCTCACATCTTCACGCTCTGAAATCCCAGTTTCCTCACGACTCTCCAGATTGCAAGGAGCCAAAAGAGCCTCTGATGTGTAACATGACATATATGCTGCTGGACTTCCTGCACTACTGCTACTGGTGCTCACCCACAGCACTGTCCTCGTGACAGCAAATAATTCCAGACCCTGCAAGTCAGCAGCTCTCCTGCTTTTAATAGGACTAATGAGATTTAGAAGCAGTGCTGCACTGTTGCTGCCCAGCAGGGAGGTGAGACTTGAACTCACGAGCTTCTAATTCCAGTGTTTCCTACTGATTGATCTCCAATCACGTGCAGATCAGTTGTGAAGGGAGAGTAATTTCTGTGACTCTGCAGGGTTTAGCACAGCAGGCTCCTGACCCTGAACTGGCAGCCTGACAATAAGGAACAGCAGACCTCTATTTCTGTAACAATCTGTAGAACAAATTGGGCAAGATCATAGGATAATTCAGGTTAAAAGGGACCTCTGGAAGTCACCTACTCCAACTGCCTGCTCACAGGGTCAGCTAAAAGGTCAGACCAGTTTGTCCAAGATTTCATCCAGTCAGGGTTTGACAGCTTCTGAGGATGGAGACTACAAAACCTTTCCGGGCAACCTGTTCCACTGGCCATCCTCACTGTGGGACAATTCCTCCTTATTGCCAGTTTGAACCTCCCTTGCTTCCACTTAAGCCTGTTGCCCCTCCTTCTCCCACCATGCACCACAGTGAAATGCCCACTGTCTTAGAATCATAGAATGGTTTGGGTTGGAAGGGACCTTAAAGATCATCTAGTTCCAACGCCCCTGCCATGGGCAGGTCTTCTTGATAACCTCCCCAAAGGTATGGGAAATGTGGTAATAGCTCCAGGCTGAACAAGCCAAGGCTCCTCTGACCCTCTGTCTTCCTGGCCCTCTGCTGAACTCGTTACAGTTTATGAATGTTTTATTGTACTGGGAGGCCACAACTGGACGCAATGCTCTAAATGTGGTCTATTAAGTGCTGAGTAGAAGGCAGCAATTGCTTCCCCTTATCTACTGGCTCTGCTTCTATTCATACAGCCCAGGTGCTGTCAGTGCTTTTGCTGCCAGGGCTGGCTCACGCTCAGCTTCCTGCTCACCAGGACCTCCAGGGCCTTTACAGCAGAGCTGCTGCCCACCAGCCAGTGCCCAGACTGTTATACAGCAAGGGACTACTCCTTCCCAGTGGCAGGACTTTGCATTTGTCTGTTCTGAATTTCAGAAAGTTCCTGTTGGCCCATTCCTCCTGCCTGAATAGTTGTTTTCAAATGACAGCGACAGGTTTGTCCAACTCTTCGTTGCTATCAGTGTGGTGAAAAAAATCCCAACATCTATAGCCTACTGTAAAAGACAATTCTGTCTTATTTAAGTCTAAATCTAGTGACAGGCAAGTACGCTTTTTGTATTTCTTGTAATTTGTCTCACCATTCCTCACATCAACACTGCAAATAATTTGCAGTTGAAACACCACACTACTTTTTTGAGGGGAGGGGAGGGAAGAGGGTGTTAGCTTGTTTGTTTCATTTCCATACCTCCAAACAAGACACTGTTGTATTTCCGCTCTGGAGGCATCCCAACCATCACTGCAAACCAGTCCACACCACGTTGCAAAGACAAATAGAATCCATCCTGCAAAACAGATAGCTGGGAAATAGAAGCAGGAAGACACTTTCTCTGTTTTATTTTCAAAGGCTTTTCTTTTCATCAGAGCTTAGTGAACTAGAGCTAACGTTAGACGATTCCTTCCCTCCTCCTTGGGAAAATGCCCCGGTTAATCTGTTGTCATAGGCTAAAAATAGCTCAAATTGTGAATGCTAACAGGCAGCAGATAATTGGGTGTATGTGTTTGGGTGGGGGAACGTCTGAATTTGAACTTTTTTAAACCATCAGGCCTGCTAATTGCTAAAATTTGAACTAAACAAAAGTGGAATGTGCTGAATCCTTAAATTAATAAAGCAACATGAGACACACTGCAACCCTCTGCACATACGCTATTTAGACTGGGAGAACCTGGGGCTCTTAGGTCCAGAAAGAAGAGGTGGTGTGAAAAAGACTCGTTCCTAAAAAGACGAGAAAGACTTGAAAAGAAGAAGGGGGCACTGAAAAGAAGGTGATCTTGGATATAGGAAATAAACTGGAAGTGCAGGAAGATCCCGGAGATCAGAGCCCATAATTAAGGTTAGAGATAGGGTTGTAAGAAAGACAAAGGCTACAGCTGCAGCTGGAATGGAGTTAGAAAGGGGCTGCAAGACAAAGGTGTGGTCTGCAAAAATAATTATCCCCTGACAAAATCTTCATCTTGTCCAGGAACACCTGAGAACAGTAACTGCCAGCAGCCACACAGCAGGGACCAACGCAACTTTCTGCTCTGCGTTCCCAGAGCAGCAGCCAGCTCCCTGCTAAAAATGGAAGTTGAGACATAGTCAACATGATGCTGGGGGCAGGAGCAAAGGAGCATGTGAAATACTCAAGTAAAGTTAAAGTTCTCATCTCTTTGGTTCTCGGATAAACCCCAGTATGCAGATCCGTTATGGACTGTCATTTACTCTGCCTCACCAGTGACATTAGTGTAAGTCACAAATGCACTAGTAATAACAAGAACTAGCCCCTAAGAAATACCTGAATTTTCCCCAAAACAAATCCCTCATTTTAATGAAAACACAAGAGGGCAGAGGCTCATGCAGGCTCACCAACAAATTCAGTCCATGAACCATTTAAATGGGCTGGGTATTACTATTATTCTGCCTACAGCTATTTGGTTTGCCCCAAAGCAAGGGATTTTTCTTCCATCCTTCCCTAAAGGCCTCATACCTAACATTTTCAGCAGGCTGGCTTTCTCTGCTTACCTGAGTCTGGCTGTAATAATCAAGGATAGAAGGGAAGAGCGGCAAGATGAGAGCAAATCCCAACAAGTCGATGAAGAGTGCCAGGAAGACAATTGTAATGACACGACTACTGTTCTGTTCTTGCTTGTCATCGCTGGCGCTGCTGCTGGTTTCTCTCTCTTGCAGGGCCATGTTCCCAGGTCCTCAGCTCCTAAAAAGTTAGATTTATATCCAGTCAACAGGAAGCATTTTGCAGGCCTTTCATAAGAGTATCTTGCTGATTCATTCTCCTTCTCTACAGACTTCCCCAAAAAAAAAAAAATATATATAAGCCATGGCTATATTAAGTTACCTGGTTTTCAAGGGAACAGGAATCTCAACTCTCTAGTCTTCGTTATTAGCTCAGCACCAAGTTTGCTCACGTCAAGAACAGGCTACAAGGGCAATAACCAATTATATTACAGAAGCATTCCAAATAAAACAGAACTAAAGAGCACTGAAAGTTTGTTAACAAGTGAGCAATGCTAATACAACTTTCCCAATGTTTTCAACTCAGCATTACAATAAAACAGATAAGAAAGCACACTCTTGTTTTGAATATCCACATTCAGGTAGCTATTAGATTATCTATGCCTTCAGTGTATACTAGAAATTACTAAAGCAATAGCAATTAAAATAGTCTTCCTAACTACTGCAGGGATGCTGTCTTCAACATAAATCCTGGAGAGCAACAGCAACTCAAGAAACACAGTAAAATTTTGTAAAATTTTACAATACTTGAGTAAAAATACTCAAGTATTTTTTTTTTCCTTTCTCTGGATGACAGCCACTGATAGGCTATATGAGCTGGAACAACAAGTGGCTAAGGCAGCATTTTAGTTTGACAGAAATATGAGAACAATCAACTTTCTTTGATAATACTCCAAAACTGTCTTAAAGACAGAGGCAGGCCATACCGTGCTCAGTATTTAGCAAATAAAATTAGTCCTTATCCTAAAAAAAACCTCAGTTTCAACAGATATCAAAATCAGGGAGTAATACACAAACCATGAAACTGCAAACTTCAGATTTGTAAAACGTTACAGTGAATCTCAATCATAAACCAAAAAAAATTGCAGTCCCTTCTACTGCAGAAGTCCCTGAATGTTTGTTGCTCTAAAATAGTAAGAAAGGAGACAGAATTTTGTGCAACAAAGTCAATCAATACCAAAATATCCACTGACTTTGATGAGTCAGGATTGAAAACACTGAGCAATTCTTACTATAAATTCTATTCCAGAAAAGGCATACCACTTTACGTACAGAGGGCACTTGTGCATGTAACATCATATTACACTAATTGAAGATTGCTGATTGCAACACTTTGCAATCTTCATGCAATCTTCATTATGCTCAGCAATATATATTATTGTGACATTTCTTTACCTGTGGATTCAGTTTACTAGCACTGAAAGTTCAAATACTATGAAATAAAGACGGAAAGGGGCCAGCTGCAACCCATTCATTAAACTCTTGGCATAACGCTCTTAAACTTGCTAGCAAACAGAGCAATTTAGTTATGTTCAGGATCCTTTTATTTAAAATGGGAAGTCATGACCACTACAAATATTTAGCATCATTTATTTACCCAAATGATATAAAAGCATCTGGAACCAAAACAAGCATTCCTTTAGACAAATCCTCCCTGACCCTGGGTCTATCCAGCCAAGAGTTGAGGGATGGGTTGACTGTGGCCGATTCTATCTTGTTTTTCCTCCCAATTTGTTTATTCATCCACTGAATTGTATGATCAAGCTGAACTTTATTCCAGGGTTATTTACAAAGGGTAACATCCTTTACACCTTCACCCCTAGGGCCATTTCAGCTAGCGTGCAGCTTGAACCCACTGATGCTAGCACTGACCTTTCCATTCAGCTCCACTTTTGGCTTACGCAGTATCCCAAGGCGCTACGTGTTTCTGCCTTTGTGCTCCATCAGTTCTGTTGTTCAAACTTTTCCATGTTTTTTGCTCGGCAGGAAACCACCAAACATTTTACCGGCCCTGGCATCCCATCAGCAAAAAACAAAACGCTTCACCTCCACCCTGACATTTGATTTCTGCGAGGCGTGTTTCAAGAGGGGAAGGGAGGATTTTCAGTTTAGGACAGTAGTTTCTCCGGACACTCATGTCCTCGCCATCCCCTCCAGACTCTCCCCGGTCCTGTGTCCAGCCGCGGCCGGGCCGGGGTGCGAGGCCGTACCCCTCGGGGAGGGACGGGCGGCGGAGCCGGCCCTGCCCTAAGGCACTGCCAGAGATTTGTCACCAGCCAGCAGGAAGAATTTCAACCTTCTGCTGTTTTCCTACCACCCCTTCCTCCCCTCCTCTGACACGTCCTAGGCCCGGCTTTACCTTGCTAAGCCTCGGGAGGGCTCCTCTCACTCCTTCACAAAGTCCCGATTCGGGTCAAGAGCAGGAGTTTCAGCCGGGGGCGGGGAGCGGCTAAAAAAAACAAACAACAAAACAAAACAATAAAAACTAAAAGAAAAAAACAATTTCCCAGAGCAGCCAAAGCCCAGAGAACCGAGGGGCCACCGAGCGGGAAAGGGAGGGCCCTGGGGAGATGCGGTGTCAGCGGGGAGCACCCTGCTGTCCCCCCGCCAGGCACCCTCCGCCGCCGGGCAGTTCCCGGGGACCCACAGCCCCGCTGAGGCGCACCCTGCCCGGCCCAGACCCGCTCCCCTGACCGCCCTCCCACGCCGCCGGCAGAGCCTGCCCCGCTGCGGGCACCTACCGCTCCTCAGGGGGCCGGGCCGGGCCCGCCGGGTGCGCGGGCGGGTCCCCTCCGCCTTGCCAAAGGCCCTCCCTTGGGGATGCTACGGACGGGCGGCGGCTCCTCCCCGGCCCTCCGTAGCGCCCCGGCGACCTTCCTCTTCCGGGCGGCGACGGAGCCGCTCCCCGTGCCCGCACCGGGCGCCGCCGGGTGGGGAGGGAGCCCGGCCGCCTGTCCTGTGAGGGAGATGGCGGCTCAGCGCGGCGCGCGGGAAGCGCCGCTGAGGGGGGCTGAGGGAGCGGGCAGGGCCCGGCCGCTGAGAGGGACTGGAATCCCGCGCTGAGGGAAGGGCCTCGGCAAGGTTGCCTCGTTCCCCGTAAATTAACAGCTTAATTAACAGTTTAACTGGGTATCTTGTCTCTCAAATCGCAGCCCTTTCTTCTTGCGTTAAAGACATTTTTCCGTTCCGTGAAGAGAGGGGTGTGCTTTCCTCAGTTCCCACAACAGCCACCGGCGAGGCCTCACTAAGTGGAAGTCTCCTGGTATCTCACACTCCAAAAACGGCAGTTGCAAAAGATGGTGACTCAGTTCCTAAAACAAAGCGCTCCCTTGAAACAGTAGGGATTTTTTAACACAGAGAACATGAATAGATCTGATACGGATAACACCGTCCAGCCTTGCTCTCTTCTCCAGCTTCTCTTAGCCTCAAACAGGATTCCAATTAAAGTTTACAATTTATTAAACGAGTAAAGACAAGCAAACAGCGCTGCGTGCACCGAGAGTCTCCACTCAACCAAGGCACACACGTGCAAGTCCCGTTTTGGGTTTATATCTCTTCTCCTAATACATATTCATACAAAGGTTGGCCTATGCTAATGATCTCCAGGGATAGGTGTGTCTTCTTTGGCGCATGCCCTTCTCACCTTCTGGAATCTTCTGTGACTCCTACCAGGTGGTCGGTGGGTAAAGTAGTTTTCCTTGGCTCGCCCCCAGGACGACCCCCTACTCCAGGCGTGCGCCCCACAGACCCCTCCCGTTCAGCACCACGCGGCCAGTAACAAAAACTGGTTTCCTTAGGGGTTCTTGCAAGAAACAGAAACTACATACATACAATCCCGCTTCTCCCAAGCCCATGGTCATACAAGGACAAACAGAACAGTTAAAGATATTAACACGAATCAGGTGAACACATTTCACATCTGGTGTCCGAGCTGCCTAATTAAAATGTTGGTATATGGTTTCAAGTGCATTCATAGTCCTAAATACATAAGGATCTGCCACCAAAGCATTTAAAGCCAATTAATACAAGTGCTGAAAGTACTTCTGGTTCCATTCAAGGTAATACAGTCCCATCAGCAGTATGGATTTATAGTTATTAACACCTGGATGAGGACTTTTCGCTTAACAGTGACATCTTTGTCATGGGTTCCCCAACCGATGACATTTGGAGCAGCTTAGCCAAGTGTCACATCAGGATTAACCTGCCAGGGAGCAGCTACTCTCTTGTTTACCTGAGCATTTTATGTACCCAGCTTGGTGTGACAAAAGGAACGGGGTAGATCATGGTACGTGCTCTGAAAACCCAATGGTTGCACAAGGATGACTGCTAACTTGGAAGCAAGCTTCAGCTTTGAGGTGCTCCAGAGAAAGCACAAATAATCATTTAGTGCCTGCAAAATATAGGTAGATATACTCTTTTGGCTCTGAATCATTGCATACAACTCACCAGGCACCATCTGAACTCGGATGCATTAAAGAAAAAAAAAAAATCCAGCTCTTCCTGTTGTTAAACTTACCAGCCAGAAGCTTTTGCAGATCACTGAGCCCAGTTGTGTTATTGCAGTCAACCATGTCATGCAATCCTGCACCAGAGCACACTGCGCTGTTTCTAGAATGAGATAGGTCATTCCCCACCGCTGTCCCCTTGGACGGCCAGTCCAAAGCCTTGCCAGTCTGACAGATAACTTAAATTTGGTTTTTAGACTACATTTATTAATTGCAGGTTTTTTTTCCTCTTTTGTCAGTCTTGTTTTTTTTAATCAAGTAATGCCTCTTCCACTCTGGATTTTACGTCCCTGCTGCATCGTTAAACAGCACTAGTGTTAACCCAAACATTATCATTTTAAAGGATTTAATGTCATACAGTTTCTCCATTATAGTATTCAGTGCAGTGTTCAGACTGCATGGAAAATTTTAGTTATCCACCCCAGACCTAATTTATTGAAAAAAATCTCAAACCAAAACAAAAAACCCACACAACATCACCCCTTACAAATAACCAGACGTTTTAACTATGGAAGACGGCATAGCCAGTACATTTAGGGCCTAAAAACTTTGTTAGCCTTTTGTCTCAGAACAACTGACAAAATGGGGAAGATCAGAAGCAGACACAGGATGATCGTGTCAGCAAACACCCATTTGAACGTTGCAGTCTCTGGGGAG